CCCCCCCCCCTTTCTTTTATATACAGTCCTATCTCCCCAGCACAGACTCCCTCAGTAATACCAATAATATACAGTCCTTTTTCGGCAGCACACAATCTCCCATTATATATATATATATATATATATATATATATATATATATATATATATATATATATATATATATATATATATATATTAGGGCTGTACTGAATAGTGATTTTCACTATTCGGCCGAATACGAATAGTGTATCATCATCATCAGGTGCCTTGCCGACTGGCGTGGGCGATCATGCCTCTCCACAATCTGCTATCTCCTGCAGCATGTATTAGTTCGTGTGCTGACACACCTCCATGCCATGCAACAAGACTGTCAAGAATCTTTTCTCGCTGTCTTCCTCCCTCCTTCCACAGATCTTTCCAGTGGTCACCACACGTTCCATTTCCCCTCTTTTTATAACATTGCTGACAAATGGCGACTGTCTCCTTCTGATGTCTGTGATTAGTTGTCTTCGGGCTCCCGCCTCTTTCGAAACCATCCTTTGCTCGGCCGTTCGTTCGATATAATTTAAACGCACCTTCATATTCTCGTTAGCAATATCTTCAGATGTGATTTGGGCGAAGGCAGCCTGAAAGAACGAAAAATGCATGATCTATCTCTCTTTCTCTCTCTTCCTCTTTCTCTCTCTCTCTCTCTCTCTCTCTCTCTCTCTCTCTCTCTCTCTCACACACACACACACACACACACTGCGGTTGGCATTTTATGCAGTTTGTACCATGCAACCGGGTCGCAGTTTCCCCTGCTACGATAGACTTAGGCAACAGCAACTATTGTGTTAATGAGAGAGTTATTTCAGTCCATCACAGTGTATGCAGAAACAGGAGTAAGGTAACCACTATTCGTATTCGGCCCGACCGCAACTATTCGGCCGAATACCGAATAGTTGTTAGGTCCACTATTCGGCCCCGAAGCGAATACGAAGCGAATATTCGGTACAGCCCTAATATATATATATATCCCTAGCTCATTCTCCTATACAAAATACAGTCCAATCTCCAATAAAATACACATACAGTCCTATATCCCTAGCACAGTCTCTTGTAAAATACATATACAGTCCTATATCCATGGACAATCTTCAATAGAATACATATAGTCCTATATCGTAGAGAAATCTCCCATCAATATACAGATACAGTCCTTTCTCCCCAGCACAATCTCCCCCAACAATATATTGTATTATCTCCCCAGCACAATCTCCTCGGGGATCAACTCGCTGACGGCTGTTACTCTGGAGGATGTCTTCAAGCCTTGTTTCCGGGTCACGAAGCACCATGAGCCTTCTCCGACAGCATCAACAATTGCTACTGTAGTACTGGGTAACGATGTTCGTGTTGTCCTCTCTTTTCCTCACTCTTTCTCTCTTCCACTCTCTTTTTCTCCACCACCTCCCCCCCCCCTCTCTCTCCCTCTCGTTGTCTGTGTGTGTGTGTGTGTCTCCCTTTCTCGGTCTCACTGTCTATGACTCCCTGTCTCTGTCTATGACTCCCTGTCTCTGTCTATGACTCCCTGTCTCTGTCTATGACTCCCTGTCTCTGTCTATGACTCCCTGTCTCTGTCTATGACTCACTGTCTCTGTCTATGACTCCGTGTCTCTGTCTTACTGCCTCTCTCTTTCTCTGTCCCTCCTTGTCTGTCTTTATCCTTTTCGTCTATCTCTGCGTCTCTGTGAATGCCTCTCTCTGTCTTTTTTGTCTCTCCTTGTCGGTCTCTCTCCTTCTCTCCATTTATCTCTCTACGTCTCTGTCTGTGCCTGCCTCTCTCTTTCTTTTGTCTCTCTCTCTACCTCCGTCTCTCTCCTTTTCTTTGTGACTGTATTTTTCTCTACCTCTGTCTCTCTCTACCTCCGTCTCTCTCTCTCCTGATCTCTCTGCCTGTACGTCTGTCTCTCCCTACCGTCGTCTCTCTCCTTCTCTCTCTAGCTTTATGTCTGTCTCTCTCTACCTCTGTCTCTCTCTATCTCTCTCTCTCTCTCTATGTATGTGTAACTGTCTCTGTATACCTGTGTATGGCTCTCTCATTCTCTCACTCTTTCACCCCCCCCCCCCTTTTTTCTCTCTCTACGTATGTGCAGTTGGATCAAATTTCAGCTTGTATACTTACGACCTTTATGTTAGCAACGATTTTTGTTATTATTATATTTTAATGATACATGCATGGAATAATATATACAGTCAGAGCCAGAAGGGCTTAATGTAAGACAGGCCAGCGTGCCCAATATGCCCGACGGGATAACTACCACTTGTACCTTTAACTTATGTTAACACAGACATTGGGCATATTGGGCTCGATCTATATTGTACAGCAAACTATTCAAGACAATAAATTGCGTAATGTATCGTCATTAACATCATTTTTGCCATCTCCTGTCTTTCAGCAATATTTTTTGGCTCTCTGACAATCGGTGTGGCCTATCTGGCAAGTCTGTTAGGGAGAACTGCAGTTATGATTTCCTTCAGTACGTTCGGGATCGTTGGCGGTCCCCTGTTGGGTTTGTTGATGGGTGGGATGTTCGTTCCCTTTATGAACAGTTGGGTAAGTTGTTTGTACTTTCCAACTGCCCAACAAATGCAATCGACTTGTATTTCCTCACTGTTTCTGCATCCTCTTCTTCCTCCTCCTTCTCATTCTCTTGATCTCATTCTCCTTTCCGATAGCATGATCATTCTCATTTTCTTTCTATAATTCTCCTTTATTACTCCCCTCCTTGTTCCTCTTTCTCTTCATCGTCTTTCTCCCTCTTTGCTCACACTATTATTATTATTACCTATACTACAGCCACCACCACCACTACTACTACTACTACTAACACCACCGCAACCATTGCTACTACTACCACTACGCCTGCTACTACAATTGCCACCACCACTGCTACTAAAACTAGCACCATCATTGCTACCACTAACACCGCCACTGCTGTTACTACCACCAACACTGCGACTGCTACGGTCGCTACTACCACCACCACTGCTACTACTGCTACCACAACTGCTGCTTCTACTGCTATCATCGCCACCACTACTACTACTGCCGCCACCACTACAAACACCACCGCCGCTACTACTACTGCGGCCACCACTATTACAATAGCTACTATGACTAACCCGTCTTGATAGCGACAAGTCAGAAAGAGATGCAATAATTACTAGATACCGTGGTTGCAGATAGTGATAAACTGGGCCTCAGTTTGGATAATGGAAAGACAGATGTAATGATGATTTTCAAAAAACAAATAGTGCCTGAATAAATAATAATAATCACAGGCGCTATTTTAGACAAGTACATAAATTTTAGTATCTAGGCACATGGTTAACATTTTATGGAAGATGTATCACAGAGATAAAGAATAGAACTGCCCTTTACAAAATAAAGAACATTTTGTGCAATATATCCATGTCATTGGGGGTTGGGAAAAGAATTCCCTTATGCTATATAGAGCCAGTTTTACCATGCAGTTGTGCAATATATCCATGTCATTGGGGGTTGGGAAAAAAATTCCCTTATGCTATATAGAGCCAGTTTTACCATGCAGTTGTGCAATATATCCATGTCATTGGGGGTTGGGAAAAGAATTCCCTTATGCTATATAGAGCCAGTTTTACCATGCAGTTGTGCAATATATCCATGTCATTGGGGGTTGGGAAAAGAATTCCCTTATGCTATATAGAGCCAGTTTTACCATGCAGTTGTGCAATATATCCATGTCATTGGGGGTTGGGAAAAGAATTCCCTTATGCTATATAGAGCCAGTTTTAACATGCAGTTGTGCAATATATCCATGTCTTTGGGGGTTGGGAAAAGAATTCCCGTATGCTATATAGAGCCAGTTTTAACATGCAGTTGTGCAATATATCCATGTCTTTGGGGGTTGGGAAAAGAATTCCCTTATGCTATATAGAGCCAGTTTTACCATGCAGTTGTGCAATATATCCATGTCATTGGGGGTTGGGAAAAGAATTCCCTTATGCTATATAGCCAGTTTTAACCTGCAGTTGTGCAATATATCCATGTCTTTGGGGGTTGGGAAAAGAATTCCCTTATGCTATATAGCCAGTTTTAACATGCAGTTGTGCAATATATCCATGTCATTGGGGGTTGGGAAAAGAATTCCCTTATGCTATATAGAGCCAGTTTTACCATGCAGTTGTGCAATATATCCATGTCATTGGGGGTTGGGAAAAGAATTCCCTTATGCTATATAGAGCCAGTTTTAACATGCAGTTGTGCAATATATCCATGTCTTTGGGGGTTGGGAAAAGAATTCCCTTATGCTATATAGAGCCAGTTTTAACATGCAGTTGTGCAATATATCCATGTCTTTGGGGGTTGGGAAAAGAATTCCCTTATGCTATATAGAGCCAGTTTTAACATGCAGTTGTGCAATATATCCAAGTCATTGGGGGTTGGGAAAAGAATTCCCTTATGCTATATATAGCCAGTTTTAACATGCAGTTGTGCAATATATCCAAGTCATTGGGGGTTGGGAAAAGAATTCCCTTATGCTATATAGAGCCAGTTTTACCATGCAGTTGTGCAATATATCCATGTCATTGGGGGTTGGGAAAAGAATTCCCTTATGCTATATAGAGCCAGTTTTACCATACAGTTGTGAAGAAGACAGTTATTAAACAAGCCGAACAAAATCTTGAGGACCTGGAGATTTGGTTTTGCAGAAGAATCCTTAGAATTCATCAGACAGCTAAGAAGAACAACTCGAAGACAACTTACCACAAACGTCGGAAAGAGACAGTCATCGTTGGAACGTGTTGTGACCACCAGGGGAGATTTGAGGAAAGAGACAGTCATCGTTGGAACGTGTTGTGACCACAGGGGGAGATTTGAAGAAAGAGACAGTCATCGTTGGAACGTGTTGTGACCACAGGGGGAGATTTGAGGAAAGAGACAGTTATCGTTGGAACGTGTTGTGACCACAAGGGGAGATTTGAGGAAAGATACAGTCATCGTTGGAACGTGTTGTGACCACCAGGGGAGATTTGAGGAAAGAGACAGTTATCGTTGGAACGTGTTGTGACCACAAGGGGAGATTTGAGGAAAGAGACAGTCATCGTTGGAACGTGTTGTGACCACAAGAGGAGATTTGAGGAAAGAGACAGTCATCGTTGGAACGTGTTGTGACCACCAGGGGAGATTTGAGGAAAGAGACAGTCATCGTTGGAACGTGTTGTGACCACAAGGGGAGATTTGAGGAAAGAGACAGTCTTCGTTGGAACGTGTTGTGACCAGAAGGGGAGATTTGAGGAAAGAGACAGTCATCGTTGGAACGTGTTGTGACCACAGGGGGAGATTTGAGGAAAGAGACAGTCATCGTTGGAACGTGTTGTGACCACAAGGGGAGATTTGAGGAAAGAGACAGTCATCGTTGGAACGTTTTGTGACCACCAGGGGAGATTTGAGGAAAGAGACAGTCATCGTTGGAACGTTTTGTGACCACCAGGGGAGATTTGAGGAAAGAGACAGTCATCGTTGGAACGTGTTGTGACCACAAGGGGAGATTTGAGGAAAGAGACCGTCATCGTTGGAACGTTTTGTGACCACCAGGGGAGATTTGAGGAAAGAGACAGTCATCGTTGGAACGTTTTGTGACCACCAGGGGAGATTTGAGGAAAGAGACAGTCATCGTTTAAACGCGTTGTGACCAAAAAAGGAGATTTGAGAAAAGAGAGACAAAGGAAGACAGCGCGAGAAGATTCTTGAAAGTCTTTTGTCAAGGCATGGAGGCGTGTTAGCGCACGAACTGATACACGCAGTTGTGAATCGCAGATTGTGAAGAGGCATGATCGCCCACGCCAGTCGGCAAGGCACTTGATGATGACTACAGCTACTACTAATAGTAGCACAACTACTACTATCACCACTAAAGTTACTACTGTTACTTTTACCCTCACCACTGACTGACTGACTGACTTTCTACCCCACTCGGACATCACACAAGCGATAAACACCCGATGACACGAGGTGCCACCATGTGGGTGAGGATCGCCGTGGAGAGGTCCCAGAAACCGCGTTCAGACAATTGGCAAATATTTATGGCCTGCCTATATTGCGGCCCCTGGCAAAAGCCAAGGTGGGGCTTCAAATAACAATAAATTTCATCCTAAAAAGGACGTAAAGATTATATACGGCTACCCTCACCACTACTGCTATTACCTCTACTACCGCCATCACCACTACCACCACTGCATCTACAAGGTCCGACAATTAAGTAATGAGACTAATTCCATAAAAAATAAAATAATCAACAGTTGAAGATATAACCTGTTTGTATTCAAAGTAAGCCTCTTGTGCAATAATACAGCAAGGGGCACGATCTAACAAACACTGGAACGACCTCTATAGTTCTTCTGTTCTTATGACCCTTAAAGTCGATGTTACGGCCCTTTGGGTGTCATCAAAATCGTTAAAAAAGCGTCCTTTCAATCGAAACATTAATTTTGGGATTAGAAAATAATCACAGGGAGACAAATCTGGGAAATAGGGTGGAAGGCTAAGAACACACACTTGTTTTGGGGCCAAAAATTCTTGTTTTGATGATGTCTCTTGGGTACTCAGCCCGCTGAAGTTTTTGGTCATTAAACAACGAATGTGGTACAAACCAGCAAGCAACTTTTTCTTGCCTAAATCTTGCACTAAAATTTTATGAATGGTCTCTCTATTACCACCAGATTCATCTGCCATCATCTTAATAGTAAAACAATGATCTTTTTGTGTCCGTTCTCTGACTTTTGCAATGAGTTCATCATTTCTAACAGAAATTTAGCGTTCAGGTCTAGGTACATTAGTATTCATTTCTACACCACTTTTGAATCATGAATACCACCAGAAAATGTGTGCACGAGACAAACAATTATCTTCATAAACTTGTTGCATCAGTTCAACTGTTTCAATGGCACTTTTTCTAGGTTTTAAAAAGAATTTAATGTTAGCCTTTTGCTCCGTGCTGATTACGTAACAATGCATCTCTGACTAGGTCAACAAAATGGCGGCTTGTTTGTTGTCTGCTTATCCAGCGGTGATGAAAAGTTGCCAGATCATATATGAATGTTGTCTCTTTAGATTTCATGCTTTGCTTTATATATGACATTTTTGTCTTGGCCATAATAAAATCAATCTCATTACTTTATTGTCGGGCCTTGTACAATTACTATCACTACTACTTCTACTACTTGCTTCTCGGGTTGCTTTAGTGATGGATCTGTTCATCCCCCCCCCCCCCGCCCCCTTGTTTCAGTTGCACCATGTAACCATCTCTTTATTGGTCTCCCCTTCGCCTTCCTTGCAGAGTTCTGCTATCAGAAGGAAAAAAAGTTGGTCTGGTTGTATTCCTAATAGATGGCCAAACCATTTCATTCTTTGCCTGTCAATATAATTTGGACATGGTCTTATTCCAACTTTCTCTCTAATGCTGGTATTCGTAACCCTGTTCCTTCTTGTATTTTTAGTTACCATACGGAGACAGCACATTTCACAAGTAGTTTTTTGTTCTAGTGGCCTACTCATTGTCCATGTTTGGCACTGATAGCATCAATTAGGGATGAAGATGTTATTAATCATTTGCTGTTTTGCTGAAAGGGGGACATTGTAATGTCTCAGCAGTGGGGGTATTTGGTAGGTGACAGCATTTGCCTTCTGTACTCTGTCTTCTATCTCTCTGTCGAGTCTGCCATCTTCTGTGAATTTATATGCTTTCGACATATGTATATAAAAAACAAACTGGAGGTTAAACTGACATTTCCGCTTGGGATCTTTCTCCCCCAGGGTGCTGGTATAGGAATGATTGTAAGCTTGGCAGTGTGCTTCTATGTGGGGATCGACCCCATTTTCAACCCTCCCCCTAACACAGACTTGCCTCTGCGGAGCGACGGGTGTCCAGTTACAAACAACACCGCCTACCCAACATTTTCTTCTATACTGGGAGAAAGCTCAACATATTCCTACACGAATGCCACACTACCAGAGGAGACGTAAGTACAGATTATAGTAGAGGACCTTGTTGATTATATGGTAGTGATCTGTAAGTAGAATTATTTTGGAAAGATTAAAAGATGCTGTTGATAAAACGCTAAGAGATGAACACGCAGGTTTTCGGCCAAACAGATTCTGTACTGACCAGATACTGACCAGATAGCCACATTACGTATAATAATAGAGCAAAGCATTGAATTGAACTCACCACTTTACATCGGAAAAAGCATTGGACAGCATTGATAGGAAATCAATGAAGGCGTAAAAACACATGGAAAAGGAAGCTGAAGAATAAAGTTAACAAAGATGGGGAGGACATGGGGAGAGCTGCATGCAAAAGCAAAGGACAGAATGACCTGGCGAAAGTTGGTTGAGGGCCTATGCTCCACTGGAGGCTAGAAAGGCAGAAAAAGAAGTGGTCAGTAACCTTTTTTTAGGTGGCGCCCCATTGTGTATATGGCAAGGCCCGCCCATGTAACAAAATATAATCAAAAAGAGTTATGTGATTTTTCTCTATAGTTAGTTAGTTAGTTAGTCTTTCCTCTTGTGTCGAGTGCGGCACATAGGGCAGAGGTCATGACTCTCCATGCATGGCGGTTCGTTGCAATCTGTTGTAGGTCTTGGATGTTTGAGTGGCCCATGAGCGAGCCTTTCCTGATGATAATTCTACGTAGGGTTTCCCTTGGTCTTCCACGAGATCTTTTCCCCTGTGGAGTCCAAATGAGGGCTTGGTAAAGAAGTCTATAATTAAATATTAATAAGATTTATAACCGAAGATGTTCAAACTTAGTTTTTAGCTTGGTGCCGCCCTGGTCCTTCTGTATATATAAATAGAGAAGGCCGTGGTGCCGCCCTGTCGTTGCATTCAATGTAGCCGGTAGCCGGTGCATACGTGGACTGGCGAAAAAAAACCTTGTCATAACTGTACGTGTGTATAGCCACCATGTCGTACCCGACTACTTCCATTAACGCAAACTGCATTTTTGGTGGCGACTGCTGGCTTTGGCGCCTCTAGCAACTGCCTTATGCATTTACTGCGTGTACGTATTTCTGGATTGTGCCGGGACTAACTGTTCACCAAATGGGACAGTACGCGGCATTTCATTTGATTTTAATGCGGTTCTGCACCAGTAATTCTAAGTCTTCCCCTTCCTGGCGTTTGCCATCTGTAAATTCTATCGGAATATTCTGGTTGCTCGTCCATTTCTGGACTTCGGTCTTTAGTTTTGCATGCACATCCGTTTTACAGATCTGGCTTATATGTAACAAGCCTTTTTCCTCCTCGCCTCTCAGACAAATGCACTTCGACTTCAAAGAAAACTCCCCTAATTAGTCGCTTTTTACGACATGTTTGTTTGGGAGGCAGTTTGTTTATCCCCCCCCCCCCCTCCCAAATGGGGCCCTGGAACCCACACAGGAGGTTTTTTTTTTTTTTTTGGGTGGGGGGCATACGGAAGGAAGCTATTTAGTATGATGACTAATATAAGTTTATTGTGTCGACATGGCAGGGCCAACGAACACCTGTACTTGTCGTACCTGCATTACTCAACCCTGGCACTGCTGGTCTCCACCTGTGTGGGAGTGATCGTCTCGGTCGTCACAGGTGAGTGAGAATCGTTGATGTGGGCGGGTAGCTGGGGACAGGGTAAGTGAGAATGGTTGATAAAGAGAGGTAGATTTTAGGTATGTAGATTACACTCGTTGATAAAGAGGTAGATTGTCGGTATGTAGATCACAATCGTTGATAGAGAGAGGTAGATTTTGGGTTTGTAGATCACGGTCATTGATAGAGAGAGGTAAATTTTAGGTATGTAGATCACAGTCATTGATAGAGAGAGGTAAATTTTAGGTATGTAGATCACAATCATTGATAAAGAGAGGTAAATTTTAGGTATGTAGATCACAATCATTGATAGAGAGAGGTAAATTTTGGGTTTGTAGATCCCAATCGTTGATAGAGAGAGGTAGATTTTAGGTATGTAGATCACAATCGTTGATAGAGAGGGGTAGATTTTAGGTATGTAGATCACAGTCATTGATAGAGAGAGGTAAATTTTAGGTATGTAGATCACAATCGTTGATAGAGAGAGGTAGATTTTAGGTTTGTTGATCACAGTCATTGATAGAGAGAGTTAGATTTTAGGTTTGTAGATCACAATCGTTGATAGAGAGAGGTAAATTTTAGGTATGTAGATCACAATCGTTGATAGAGAGAGGTAGATTTTAGGTTTGTAGATCACAGTCATTGATAGAGAGAGGTAGATTTTAGGTTTGTAGATCACAGTCATTGATAGAGGGGGGTAGATTTTGGGTATGTAGATCACAATCGTTGATAGAGAGAGGTAGATTTTAGGTTTGTAGATCACAATCGTTGATAGAGAGGGGTAGATTTTAGATATGTAGATCACAATCGTTGGTAGGGGCAGGTAGATGTGTGAAAGTGAGGTTTAAGTTATTCCTAAACAAAGCAGGTCACGTTTCATTCACAGGTTTGTTGGGCTGGTTTACTTATGTGCATGTTACGGGTGTGCCGCTCTGGCATTTACTTTTTTTTTTCTCCAAGAAAGAGAATGTATGTGGCATAGGTTGCAGCACTCTCTAAGGGGATTGTGTTAGACCTAGTTTGTCCATGTTTTCGGAGTGTTAAAAGCGCTGGTGTGCTGAACATAGAACATGCTTTATCAACGGCATTGCTAAACACCCCCGTAACCTTGTGCCAAGGTGACAGGTTCAGAAACTACAAATCAGAAGTGAGCTAGTGTGTATATGGCGGTCCGTGAGGAGATCAATGTAGTTTTACTTGTGTGCGGCTGGTTGAGGTTTTGAGATTTTGTTATTTACTGTTAGAGACAGGTGTGAATGATTGATAGGGGCAGGTAGGTGAGACTGATTGAAAGGGTCTTTAGTCTTTAGTCTTGCTCCAGAACTTGAGTTTTGCGTGCACATCCATTTAACAGATGTGACTTATGTGCAGACTGTTGATGCCTCGTCTCTCAGGCAGATGCACACCCACTTCGAAGGAAATACTCCTATTTAGTAGCCTTGTACGACATGCTTCTCATGGACATTCACATACATAAACAGAGGGGGAGCCTTGAGGCCTTAGAAATAATATACGAGTACATATAATAAACAAGCAGAAATATATTGATCAGCAATCGTAGAAAGATAGAACACACTAGACACAATAAATATGTGAATTTATAGCTCTGGCACGGAGAGTATTTGACTGGGAAGTTAAGTGTGCGGGGTTTTAGTGGAAAGGGGTAAAAAGGGGGAGGGAGTGTGGGTGTAAGGTGGAGCCGGTCATGGTTTAACTAAATTATTCCTGGCTCGCTAGCGCAGTTGGCTAAACCTGACTGCGCGGCGACCGGGAGACGAATTCCTTGTGGTCCGGGTAAACAACCCCCCCTCCCCCCCCCCCCTTTTTTTTCTCCCCGGGTTAGGAAGAAAAACCAAATTTCTCCTAGATTTACGGTAACTATCATGGAATCAAGGCTGAAGGGTTGCGACATCCATAGTACCGAGCCAAAGGGTTAACAACTCATGGTTTCTGGATACTTAAACTGAATTATACTTTCATTTCCAGTTTCTTAAAAGTTTAGTCCAAATTATTATTTCGTTACTATTTATCTAAGAGTCTAAAGTAAAAAAAAAAAAGAAAGTAAAGATCCCTTATTACGCCTAAGGCGCATCGGGTATATGGCTAGAGCGTCAAATTTTTTTACAGACCAATCGGCACTCAGTGGGTAATGTGGTCAGCATTACGCCGGCCGTCTTTACTTCCCTAGGACATCCATCCTGGTTCCCATTTGAGGCTGCGACGTCCCATACCACTCGCAACGCCTTAGCCACGGACGCCGCATCCATGGGTCCAAATTAAACTCGAAATATCATTGCCAGTGACTTTTACTTTATTCTAGAGCCATTTACTCTTGTCCAATCGTGCAGGTTGTAATAAAGGAAGACAAGTGGACGAGAGGACATACTACAAATATTCCTGGTGTTCCAGTGCAGGCAAGGTAATGTAGTATAGGCTTGACTTGACTTGTTATGTGACCAAACAAAAAATTTTTAACCTGGACTCCTCAATGTGCCCTGAGGGCCTCATTATAATTGGGTCCGTTGTTTCTTTGTGGATTTAATTGTCCTTCCTCTTGTGACGTGTTGGTACGCCTGGCCATTATGTAGTGTAGGGAATGACCAGCTTCAGATAGAAGGCCTTAAGCTCAAACGGAAATTCCCGTTTTTGTGAGGCTTATGTGGCCGGTCGGTGGTAACAATTGTTATTGAGTAGATTTTTTATGCACGAACTGAACTACAAGTCTCAATAATTTGCAACATGTATTTTTAAGTGAATTATTGTTTTGAAGATAGATGTTTTCTAATAGTCCATATATTTATCTTAAAAATAATAACCCACTACGCCAGAATGGCCTAGAGAAAAGATACAAAGAATGCTCACAATCTGTGACCTTCCCAGTGAAGCTTGCCACTCTGCATCTTGTTCTCTAGCCACCAGAGAGCTGCAGTTTATGTCTCCTTGGGAGACATAAAGGGTTTAAGGAGATAATGAAATATAGTTTTGTACATAACAATTACTGTAGATTATACTGTATTTTAATGTTATTTAAAAATCTGTGTAAAAATCTTTTTTTTTTCCTAGACAAAATCGAAGTACCAAGTTACGCAAAACGGCTTCCATGACAACCATAAGCGTGGCGGAAGTGACAGTCGCCATGATGTCAAGGGCGGTTACCATTTGTATTCAAAAAATGGCGGGACCAAACCGGATCTTTCTGGCGACATCTACTCTAGTGACAAGTACTTCGATCAGACACTGGTGTGAAACACATTCGGCATCAAGGCATTCATCAGTCGGCTGTTAATTTCTTCATTGCATCACAAATACATTCACAGTTTTAAATACTCAATTAATTGCATTAAGTTAATGCCTGTACACTAGGACTATTCAAGTAGCAGCCCGCTGGCCAAATTCGGTCCGCAAAGGCTAAGCAAGTGGCTCCCAGACCATTGCCATTTGTTTTGTAATATTGATCTTTCCACGCTGGGGTTTGGGCTTCTAACCCGTGACGAGCTCCACTGTCAGCAGTTTGGCCCCTGGGTAAGCTTTATCACACAAAAGTAACATCTGTTCCCTGGATATTTTCATGGACAGCCATTCAAGCGCAACGCGAGCTTTCAAAATGTATTACCATTTATCGTGCGTGTGTGTGTGTGTGTGTGTTTTAGGACAACTATTTGAAAGTGTAATATTCGGCTCTCCTTTCCAAATGATGGGTCTGAGTAATCGCGCTTAAAAAAAATACCCTTACAGGGCCTCAAAAGGTCTGCTTCCGTTTAGGTTGCATCCATAACCTTTCAATTGTTTGAGTGTTAGGGTTAGTGTTAGGGCTAGGGTAAACTGTAAACCTAACTCATATATATATATATATATATATATATATATATATATATATATATATATGTGTGTGTGTGTGTGTGTGTGTGTGTGTGTGTTTGTGTGTGTGTGTGTGTGTATATATACATATATATGTGTGTATATGGGACGGTGAAGAGTTAAAATCAAACAGCCAGGCGCATTACTGTTTACCTGAGCTGTCTGTACACCTACCTTTTAATATATAATTAATACCTTCTTCTTCTTCTTCTTCTTCTTCTTCTTCTTCTTCTTCTTCTTCTTCTTCTTCTTCTTCTTCTTCTTCTTCTTCTTCTTTTTCTTCTTCTTCTTCTTCTTCTTCTTCTTCTTCTTCTTCTTCTTCTTCTTCTTCTTCTTCTTCTTCTTCTTCTTCTTCTTCTTCTTCTTCTTCTTCTTCTTCTTCTTCTTCTTCTTCTTCTCGTTCACGGGCTGTAAACTGCAGAGGAACGTTCTCGTTGTCTGTTCACCTCTGGACTGTGGTCTTGATCCAGAACATTCTAGGATCTGCGTTTAAAATTACTCCATTGTATCCACTTTGTACGGGAGTGTGACTTCACACAAGCTGTTGAAATTGCTGATAATAGTGCAGTTAATGGCAGAGTCTCCTGAAACCAAGCCAAACATTTATATTTGGAAAAACTGGATCAACCAGAAGAACACAGACCAGACATTAACTTATCCTAAATAACTGGACAAATGCTAAATGTCTGTGATACTGATAGAGCTGCAGAAGCTCTTTTCTAATTTAAAGATAGGGCATATTGTTAAAGGAAAAAGGAAATTTGTAAGTTAGAAGACATTGAACACATTCTCAATTCCCACCGTTCTGTTGTTGCTATTACTGCTGCTGTTGTTGGTGTTGATGTTGTTGTTGTTGTTGTTGTTGTTGCTGCTGTTGCTGCTGCTGCTGTTGTTGTTACCTAAACTATGGACAGAATTATCTGTAATATTTTGTTTATACATGTCAGATTATTTTAAATGCATCATTATGTGCCATTTAGCACATTGTTATTGTTGGTGCTGTTGTTGTTGTTTGTAATGGTGGTAAATTTGGTAGCCAGATGGTTAGTTGCCTTACCTTTACAGGACGTTGCAGAACCTACCCCAACAGCCCCTGGCTATGTGGTTTTTCTAGGCAAATTTACGTCCAGTAGTTTGTCCTTGCTTACTGGACGGTCGGCTTTCTTGATACCACTGTCGAAACCAACGCAAGGCGCATGGACCGCAGCTGGGATCGAACCCGGCATCCCGGCATTACGAAGCGTTCGCATCGACTTGGCCACAGAGCCGACAGATATATTACATTGAAAACTCATACTTTTTTAACATTACATTGAAGGAACACTACACTGAGAGCTTTTACCCAGTCTGAACAGTACAATGAAAGCTCGCTATATCTGAACATTACAGTGGAGACGTGTTTAACGGGGAAACTGATTGACTGACTTTCTACCCCACCAGAACATCACACAAGCGATAAACACCCGATGACACAAAGTGCTACCATGTGAATGAGGATCACCGTGGAGAGGTCCCGCGTTCAGTCATTAGGCCATATGCCATATTTATGGCTGGGCTATATTGCGACCCCTGGCAAGAGTCAGCGTAGGGCTTCAAATAACGAAAAATTGCATCCTAAAAAAGGACGGGACGAGAAGTTATTTATCCAACGGGGAAGCCCCGTAGAGTCAAAGTTGGTGTTGGTGTGGATGAAGCAAAGTTGGGAACTGTACATTTATGTGAATGCAAAAAAACTGTCACGAAAGTTCTAGATTTTCGTCGATTTCTGAACTGTAGTCTTGTTCCAGAACTTGAGCTGTGTGTGCACATCCGTTTTACATATCTGGCTTATGCGTTTACAGAGGGCTTAATGCTGACAATCGCACATTGGTGCGACACCGATCGTTTGCCCCCCTTGAACAACTCTCTTCATCTCTTCATCAGACAGACCTTTCTCATACTCATTACGCAGCTGCTTCTTGTTGTCTGCAGTGTCCTCATCTTGCCTGATCAGTACAAACTTACGTTGATCCAACAAACATGCCTTTGCATGCAATTGCTTAAAAGCTTGAATCAACATGTTATATTTTTGTCGTAGGTAAAATCTTGCACATTTCAGTTTTATAGCCATATCAGAAAGAATTAGTCGCTCCTCTTCTACCTTGGGGTGTAGAGGTTTGCCAGAGAGATCGCCAGACGTCTCTATCAGCAGTTTTCTTTCTGGCTTTGTTCCATTCCAGTCCTCTGTCAGTCAGGGACTGTCGGATGTTGTCTTCCCAGCGCACCCTGGGTCGTCCCGGAGGTCTGGTTCCCTGGTTCTTAGCCTCCCATGCTTGCCATGGTGGCCGATTTTCTCCCATTCTGCACACATGTCCAAACCATCGTAACTGTGACTGATCCACTCGGGTTAGTAAGGGCTGGGTATCAAGATCTTGACGTATTGTCTGATTGCGGACTTTGTCCCTTCTTGTCACTTGGACCACCTTTCTCAGGTATCTCATTTCCGAGGCCTGCAGCTGGCTTCTGTGAGCTGTTGTCATTGCCCATGACTCACACCCATAGGTCAGGACTGGTACATAGGTAGAGCGGTAAACAGCCATTTTCGTCCTCTTGCCAAATTTCTCTTTTGCTAAGAAACCCTCGGTTTATGGCCTGGAAGAGTCTCCCAGCAGCTGCTTTTCGTGTAGCCAGCTCAGTCTTAATGCCTCCATTTTGGTCTAATACAACTCCAAGGTATTTGAACTGGTTAACCTGCTCCAACGCATACTGACCCATCATGATCTGGTGTTTCTTCTCCTCTCTTGAGATCACCATGGTTTTAGTTTTGGAGACACTGATGGTCATCCCTTTCTTTTCAAGCTCTTCCTTCCAGACAAGTAAGTTGGTACTGAAGGTGTGCCTCTGATTTAGCTATCAGGGCCACATCGTCTGCAAAAGCCAGCTCTGATATACAGATTGGTCTCATCTTCCAGTACCCTACAGAGTACTTCTTTGTCTTCTCCTTACAGGTCTTGATGACATCATCCATCATAAGAATGAAGAGGTAAGGTGAGAGAATATCACCTTGTCTAACACCGCTGGTGGTCTTAAATTCTTCTGACTTTTGGTCTGCTGTTCTTACATAATTTCTGCACTTTTTGTAGAAACTCTGTATTGCACTGATCAGGGGTGCTGGGATTTTTTCCCTGCCAAGCAGTCCCAGAGCTTGTTCCAGGGTACCTTGTCAAATGCCTTTTCCAGATCCAAAAAACATAAGTGAATCTCACTCTTATATTCCAGGGCTTTTTCACACTCATCTGTCTCAGTGTGAAGATAAGGTCTTGAGTACTTCGGTTTGCTCTGAAGCCGCACTGGGCCTCGTCCAGCTGTGGCTCTACCAGACTTCTAAGTCTCTGCTCAAGAATTCTAGAGTAACTTTTACCGGGGATGCTGAGGAGGGATATGCCTCTGTGGTTTTCACATTGTCTGTTATCACCTTTTTTAAATATAGGTATAATTATGGCAATCTCCCAATCTTTTGGTATAGTTTTTTGCTACACCAGGCTGCCTGGAGAACCTTCAGTAGAAGGCGCTCACCTTCGACTCCCATATATTTGACCATCTCTGGTGTTATACCATCATGACCTGCTGCTTTTCCCAGCTTAATCTTCTCAATAGCTGCCTTCAATTCTTCCATCCTGATGTTATCTTCCACATGATTGAATTCCTTCTCAGCAGTGAGGTCCATTATTTCTGGGTCATGACTTCCCTCAGCGCCGAGGAGCTCTGAGAAGTATTCTTTCCATCTGCCCATGATATCATTTGTAGAAGTAAGCAGAGCCCCTTCCTTGTCTTTTATGAATTTAAGTGGGCACTCTTTCTCCTTCCTCATGTTCTTAAGGGTCTTGTAGAACAGTTTTTGGTTTTCTCTTGCATTCTTTTCCAACTTTTCTCCAAACTCTTCCCATGATTTCTGTTTTGCTTTAAGCACAATATTTTTGGTCTCTGTTCTGAGTGCCACATATTGTTTATATTTTTCTATTTCTTCAGCTGTGTTCCTGGCTGCCAGGTATTGCTTCCATGCCCTTTTCTTTTCTCCTATTTTCAATTTGACTTCTTCTGTCCACCAAGGTGTCCTGTGTCCCCCGCCTTCCACTTGGGACTTCACCACATGCTTCTACTGCAGCTGCTGTGAGGATATTCTTGAATCTGCACCAGAGGGTTTCAGTGTCCTCTGATGGTTCTTCTTCAGTTCCTATTGCTTTCACTATAAGCTCCTGGTATCTAGCCTTAATATCTGGCTCTCTTAGCTTGTATGCTTTAATCCTCATCCCTTCTTGGTTGCTTTGTTTCTTGCATAGTTGTCGGTGTTGCCTTGTTGGAGCAGTTCTTTCAGTTGTTCTCTTTATTGTGACCAGATAGTGGTCACTTCCAATCTCTGGTCCTCTCATGACTCTGGCATCTATCACAAACTTGAATGAACTTTTCCTAACTATGGCGTAGTCAATGATGGATTTTTCATTCTTTGAAGGTTCACATCTTGTGTATGCATGTATACGCTTGTGGGGGAATTTCGTGTTTGTAATGACAAGGTTCTGTTCCCTGCAGAATCTGAGAAGTCGCTTGCCATTATCATTCAAAACATCTTCACCATATCTCCCGATCACTCCACCCCATCTACAACACGCTTATAAAATATCAAGGGAGACTACTAAGAAATTATTGTTCGCAATTGTCTTTAATTATCTACCCTAGCTTTTGTTATGTAACGGGGTAAAACTAAAAGAAAACAATTACTTAGTTTAAAAATGCTAATGACACAAAAAAAAATTGTACATACATAAATTATTAAAATTGTATTATTGTAACACTGCTAATAAAATTTGTATTTTGTTTATATAATTACAGTTAAACAAGGCATTCGTGGGCGTCGGTGGTGTAAAGGTTAGCATGGTTGCCTTCCAAGCAGTCGATCCGGGTTCGATTCCCGGCTGACGCAAATTTTTCCCTCCCAAATTTTTATATTTTGTATTACTATTTTTATTATTTCCCATGTGGGTTTCAGGTTCCATTATGGGAAGGCCAAGAATATACCCACTTCCTTACCCAGAAAGCACGTCGTTTACAGCCGGTGAAATTGGATTTTAAGAGCATGCATCTTTCCCGCTGCAACAACCCCCTGTAAGATCTGGACACTTACTAAATAAGCTAAACAGCGCATAGATGCCTTTGAATACAAATGTTATAGACGGGTTCTAAGAATAGCATGGGTAAAGAAAAGGGCGAATGCATCGATACTTCAAGAACTAAACATTGAAGAGAATTGTCTGTTAAAGACGATAATACACAGAAAATTGAAATACATTGCTTACCAGATTTAGATCATTCAAGTCAAACGAAATAATATAAATCTTAAAAATCCAGATGGACCAGGTATACAGTTTGGAGGAAAAAAAAATATTTTTCCTCTTTCGTTCGCTTGAAAAAAAAAATTATCTATGTCTGCAATGTTGTCTCTAGTTTGAACTTATATGTTTTTATATTTTTTAATTTGTGGGGGTTGGTAATTTAGACAGTTCTTGGTCAGATATGACTGAGTACTCTATAACAGTAGTTATTACTACCTGTTTTCTGTTAACGCCGAATTCAGCTCAGATCACTCAGGTCGACCTCGGATGTCACGAATGTCTATTGTGAGGAACAATAAGTTTATCCCCGGCAATTTGGTTTGCTCGAATTCTTATCTCGATAAGAGGAATTTCTGATAAGAAGAACCATTTCTTGGGTCCCTTGTGAGTTCTCCTTATCAGGTCTGCGCTGTATTGTGCGAGAATATCAACCCTAACATCCCACATTGTGCCAACGGCTTTGCGAGAAGGAGTGCACTACCTCGTTACTAGTCTCGTCTGAAGAAAAGAAAAGGCAACTTGAAAACCTTATGTTATGGCAAAGCAGACCAGGTCGAATGCTAGCGCTGGATAGGACACACATTGAGAAAACCGGATAACTAGAATGTCTTTGCATTGGAACTCATAGGAGCATAGGAATAAAGGAAGGCCCAAAAAAATGAAGGGAGCTGGAGAATTAAGTTAGATGTAAGGACATGGATAGAGCATCATGCGATAGCAAAGGATAGATCCACTTGGCGTGAGTTGGTTGAGGGCCTATGCTCCATTGGGGACTAGAAAGGCAGAAGAAAAGACGAGTACCTTAGCCTTTGTTATGTCATGTTATCATAATCGATGTCACTGCACATTGGGCCTTTCCCATGCGTGCTCAGTCCTCCGACGCAGCAGCCACTCCAATGTACTTCTATTAATTGTTTCCCCTATTAGTGTCATAGATTCATCATTATCCACTAACCCAGTCCGTACAGAGTTGGTGATATCTGTTCTATCCATGCTTCTTCCCACATGCCTTGTTGGATTGCCTGCCAATTTGTCAAATCGCTTATTACCTTTTACGCCAGCATGACCTAGTGTGAAGATCCAGGGGAGGGAGGTTAAGTGCGATTTTCGAATGCTTTCTACCCATTCAGAACGCATACCGCCTATTGTGATCTTCTGAAGCAGGTTCGTGGAGTCTGATAACATTAGCCTTGGCTGGCAGCTGGTCTCGAAGGAAAACTCCAACAGGTAGACATCCCGAGTCGGTTGGTCTCGATGCTGTGCGAACGGGTAGACATCCTGAGTCAGCTGGTCTCGAAGCTGTGCCAACGGGTAGACATCCCGAGTCAGCTGGTCTCGAAGCTGTGCCAACGGGTAGACATCCCGAGTCAGCTGGTCTCGAAGTTGTGCCAACGGGTAGACATCCCGAGTCAGCTGGTCTCGAAGCTGTGCGAACGGGTAGACATCCCGAGTCAGCTGGTCTCGAAGCTGTGCCAACGGGTAGACATCCCGAGCATTGTTCTTCTGCAGAGCTTATTTGTTCGTAATGAAATAATAAAACAGTCGCCGTCACCACAATATGGGTTGGTTAGATCAGGTTGTGTTTCTGATGGTATGCAACAGTAAGCGGTACTGGTACCTTTTGTGCATTTTCCCCCAGCGCTTCTGTAATAGACTAATTGTGGTGAGTACAGCAACATATTTCTCTATAGAAAAAAAAAAAAAAACATGACAGTAACGGATCTCCAACCTACTTTGTTTCTCATTCTCGTTGTATACTCTGTGATACTGCTGTTCGTCCATTTTGATGTCATCCTCCCACATGTATTGCTGTCTACAACTTGCCTTCAGCTGTTCTCTCCAGATTTTTTTTTTTTTTTAAATAAGGGTTGTGTCTTTTAATGTGGCCTGAAATATGTCAGTTGCGACACCCGAGTAATGTTAAATCACCAACAGTAATAGGTAAAGTCAATGACATGTGTCCATTCCTTCATGTGTACCGGGCATATAGGGCTAAACCTATATTTTTATAGGCCAAACAGTGCTAGGTGGGTGATGTGGTCAGCATCAAGCCGGCCGCCTTTTTCCCCAGGACCGACAGTAATAGGAAGGCATAACAAATATTTCATTTATAAACTGGAAAATAAACCACACTTTCTCCCCGATTTACGACTTCTGCGACTTACGACCACAAACTTACATTCACACACACACACATATACATACACACATACTTACACACACACACGCACGCATGCATGCATGCATGCATGCATACATGCATACATACATACATACACACACATACATACATGCATGCATGCATGCATGCATACATACATACATACACACACACACATACATACATACATACATACATACATACATACACACACACATACCTACACACACAATACATACACACATACCTACATACACACAACTACAAATACACACACATACCTACACACACACAATACATACACACATACCTACATACACACACAACTACAAATACACACACATACCTACATACACACACTTACACACATGTAAACAGTTCATAAAAAAACATTAGTAGTGTTAAACATTTCCCCGAACTGATACAACAGAATGTTAAATATTGAATTAAGAATCGATATCACAGCACTCGGGGCACTCCCATAACCTCCCTGTCCCCATCTTCAGCAGCAAGGGAAGAGTACCAATTCCGATGGTTAAAGTAACTCCGTCTCGCCTTTCCCTTGAGTGTTGACGCTGTGATAATGTCCAGACAGACCTACAAAAACTTAATGTCACCAATTGGAAAGAGAAGGCCAGCCAGAAAAATGTGTTTAAGTGGGTGATATCTGCAGCAATGAAGCTCAAGGGCTCGGAACACTGAAGAAGAAGAAGACCTACTGACGGTGTTACCAACTGCAAAGAGAAGGTCAACTAGAGATTTGAATGGAGGCAGGTAATATGGAAAGGAATGATGAAACTAAAGATTGGGAATGCTGAAGAAGTAGGACAAGAAAACTATTTAAACCTGCTTATCTTTTCCTGAGACCGGAAGTAGGTGGCGCCATCTCTCTTTTGAGCGTCTTTAACTCTTTTGGGGGAAAAGTGGAGGTGGATTAATTTTTCTATCGGTGGACATCCATTTCTCCAAAATGGTAAATATAATTATTGATTTTTTAAAAGAATAAATGTCTGCTTATTTTTATCGATGTACTAATTTCATCGTTTGAAATGCTTTGAGACTTGTGTATGATTCATTTGTTTACATTTTAAAACCGAAAGTTCAAATATGCCATATTGGTAAGACTAGGACAAGCTAGTTCTGGTTATTATTACTATTACCAGCTTTTTGCTTTGTTATGCACACAATAAATCATGAGCAATGTCTTACAGGTATTTCTTTTGCCTCACTCATCCCCCCCCCCCCCAGTGCGTTGTTAAATTAGAATAGAGAGCCACTGAATAGCTCTGCCTCAAACTCAAATTAATAGGTAAACTTTACCAGCTTTTTAAAAAAATGTGATAATTTAATTAAAGAAAAAACCCGGCTGTGGAGTCGGGATGAATAACCGGTTTTGTTTATATTTATACTAGTATACAACGGATCAGCATCATGGCGCGAGGGTAGTAAGTAACCCATAAGTGCTCTGTTCTAACTCAAGCCTGAGTCCCACGAGTCTTAGCCATCGCAGTGCACGAACTCCGTATCACCGGCGAGGATACTGAGTGAAATACTTTAACCTACTTTAGGTCGACTTTTTACTCAGACAGCACCGCGTTATGCTACCCTTTTCAGTTTCCTAAAGCCAGGGGATTTCTTTACGTACACACGGGCGTCCAGTCTTACTACCCAGAGACCAGGGGAAATTACTAGAAGAATACGTGAAAATACTGAAAAAAAATCCCAGCTTTCACCGAGACCTCCAGCACTCGAGGCGGATGCCATGCTTCGAGACCACTCAGCCCTTTGATGATATGAAGTCATCAGCAATGAGCGATTATATAATTTATTATATAAATTAAATATTTTAGAGGGCTTCCCTACATATGTTATCATTGGTAATATAAAGTATAACGAACACTTTTATAAATGGCAACTTTACCAAAACGCTCTCAAAATCTACCCTGACTGATAGACACTCGATACTCAGTAATTTGTTTCATTAAAAAAAGTTTAATTTTCACTACTACACTTGTCCGCCAAGCAATAGGTGAAGTATGAAGAAATGCAAATGCGTACACACACAAAAAAGAGGAGTGGTTGGGGGGGGGGGGGAGCTGATGACTAAACATTTCCTAACGTTAATTATAATAATGCTGAGTCAGAGTCAGAAGTTATTATAATCATAATCCAAAGTAACCATTAATCTCTTTCCTTACTAAATACTTAATCATTGAATTTCTGCCTCTCTAGATAAGTTGGGATAGTGAGGCTATCCTCCGAATAATGGTCCTAAATTATCGAGGCGGAAAATATATACTAACAGGACTTTAGTCACCTGTCAATTGCTCACTTCCGTCGACTCCCGCTAAAGCCGAGAGTATCCCTCACGCGGATGACTTAACATTTTCTAACGTTAATTATAATAATGCTGAGTCAGAGGTAATTATAACCATAATCATAATCTTAAGTAACCATAATAATTTCTTTCATAAATAACCTTACTAAATACTTAATCATTCAACTTCTGTCTCTCTAGATAAGTCAGATGGTTATGTAAAATCTCAATCCTTCTTTACCAGATGGACTACCCCTCTGATTAAACCATCTTTACTAGGTCTAATCTTTACAGTTACCCCTTTTTTTCGGCTCTCCTCCGAACTTTAACCCGGTATTGTGGCAGCCATAAAATATCCTTACAGGGCTCGGGCATATGTAAAATGCGGGCTTTCTCTGCCAAGAAACAAATCGCGGCAAAACTAGGATTACTTGACAATTTCAAGAGATGCAGCATTGCAGACGATAATAGCGACCGCTGACAATTTCGAGCATTTCTGCAAACGATAATAGCATGCGCAAAATGCGATTAGACTCACCACCGAGCGTATCCCCGCGCGCAGCGCAGATAGGAGCTAAACTAGTTGCCTGGGACTCACGAGCAGATTAATTGGAGGAAGTTGCAGGAGATGTGGTAGCTGCTGCTGGTGAGTCCCAGCCATCTAGTTTAGACCCCACCCGCGCCGTGCGTAGCGGCGCGGGGGATACGGTCGGCGGTGAGGCATAGTCACAGAAACAGGTCTGCAAGTAACATATCGCTAAGACCCTGTTGGGGCATTTGTTTCGTTATACGGAGCCGGCATATTTTTAATAGAACTGAGCCCCGTAAGGATATTTTATGGCCGCCATAATATCGGGTTGAAGTTCGGAGGAGAGCCCTTTTTTTCTATTACATACTGTATGTAGTGTTGCTTTAACTTGCTTAGTTGACCCTTTTCTTCCCGGGGATGTAGAGGTTTGCCAAGTAGATCTTTTATCAGCAGTTTGGACCATTTCTTTTTGGCTCCCTCCCCCATTCCAGTCCTCTGTCAGTCAGGAACAGTCGGTATGGTCATCCTAGAAAACACTGGGTCACCCTAGTGGCCTGGCTCTATGGTTCTTGCCCTCCCATTCCTGTCATGGTGGCCGATTCTCTCCTACCCTGCATACATGTCTAAACCATTATAACTGATCCACTCAAGTTTATAAGGCCTGGATTTCAAGATCAAGTCAGCCATATTGTCTAGTTGTGAACTTTATGAGCCTTCTTGTCAGTGTCAGTCTAAGGAGATTAGCGCTGCAAGGATTTACCAGAGGATCTTGCCGACACTCTACACTAAGGGAAAGGATGAGATAAATATACAATACGGTCAGACAGTTACCGGTACCATTGTAATTTTTAACTTCGCTTTCTGCTGAAGATGGGGACTGAGCACTTTTGAGTGTGTTCCGAGTTCTGTGATGTCGATTATTAATTCAACATTTATCAGTGTCACTTTTACTACTCTTCTCATAGACTTAAGGTTTTGAAGTGTTGTAATAAAAACTACCTGTGACAGAAAGAGTTAAAATGCAAATTTTTTGTTTTGTTTACTTGACAGTCGATCGGGAAAAGTTCTAAAATGGTGCAGCACATCAACTACAGGATGCGCTGTCAGCTGCAGGATGGCCGAGTCTTCATCGGCACCTTCAAAGCCTTTGACAAGCACATGAACTTGATTCTTGGTGACTGCGACGAGTTCAGAAGGATCAAGCCCAAGAACGTCAAGACTACCGAAAAGGAGGAGAAGAGAGTGCTAGGGTTGGTGCTGCTCCGGGGCGAACATCTGGTTTCTATGACAGTTGAAGGACCGCCAGCAGCAGAGGTATGTATCTATGTTGTTGATCTGCATTATGCAGATTGTTGGTTCCTTGCCTCTCAGGCAGATGCACTCCCCCCACTTCAAATAGAGCCTCCAGTCAGTCGACTCTAACAACATGCTAGTTGGGCAGGCAGTGGGTCTGTTCTTGTTTTGCCTACATTGGGGCCCAGGAACCCACTCAGGGATCCCACTACTTATGTCGTAAAGCATCACAGAGAAGCGTTACATGTAGTTTTTTGTCTTTTGTCCTATTACCTATACCGTAAAGCGTCGCAGAGGGGATAAGTTAGCGTCGCAGAGGGAATAAGTTGTAGTTTTCTGCTTTTGCAGAGCTTGTAATGCCATATCACATTAACATTACTATAGTGTCACTCTTGCTCTCTCCACCCACCTCTTTCTTGGTCAGCCTCTTGACTTGAAGCCTGCTGTTTATACTCTGGCTGCTGGCTGATTTTGTCTTATTCTGATCAGGCGGCGATGAAACCATTTGATTATCGATGTTCTGTTAAATCTTTACCGATACTTTGCCTACTGTTGTTTTTAGTTCTTTGTTGGTGACTTTCCTTGTTTTTCTCGCCACATTTCTGATAGAACTCCTCACGTGTTGTCATTTTGTGTTTTTTTATTTTGTTTTCCCAGGATTGTCCATGTCTGACATTGGTAGCACAAAGTTGGTACCAATTAGGCATTTGTCAGTTTTTCTATCACTTATTTATAACGCATGTTATCGCTTGGTATATTGTTTGTTATATATTATTATATTTAACAGCTTTAACAGTCTGTGGTTAAGCACCAGCAAGGAGTTCAAAATTAGAATTTTGAGAGCATGCATCTTCCCTGTAGTAACATACGGATGTAAGTCATTGACTATCTCCTAGACCTTAAGAAAGAGAATAGGGGCTTTTGAGCTGAAATTCTATAGAAAGATTCTCAGAATATCTTGGAAAAGAAGAGGATAAATACTGAAATCTTGAAAGATCTGAACATCAAGGGATATTGATTAATAAACAGCATCCTGTCTCAGAAGCTGAACTATTTTGGTCATATCAAGCGCCATGACGCTTTGGGAAAAATTATAGCAGAAAGCATGGTACCAGGAAGGAGGAGCAGGGGCCGACCAGCACGAAGATGGGTACAGGATATAAGTGACTCTTGAATATGAAAGTACATGAGGCGGGAGAGCTGGCGAGAGACTGAGTTTCTTTCAGGCAGACTGTGATGAGAGCGAGGTTCTGCAAAGGACCTGCTACATGATGATGATGAGATATTGTTTGTAATGGATTTATGATCTTTTCAATCTTACAGGAGGGATCAGCCAGGGTGCCACTTTCCGGTGCCAGCCAAGGCTCAGGTGTGGGTCGGGCAGCAGGTCGAGGTATTGCTGGAGCCACAACAGCACCAGCCCCTGGCTTGCAAGGTCCTGCACGAGGAGTGGGAGCCCCAGCACCACAGATGATGACCCCACAGCCCCGGGTTGGGGGTCCGCCTCCACCACCAAACATGGGTATGTCTAGGATTTAGTTGGTCTTAATTTAACGTATATTCCGTCTGCTTATGGACTGTCAGCTAGTGTAATGGCTGTGTCAGTTCCCTTTGTGGATTCAGGGAAAACAAGCGTAGATCCACTGTCTCCTTAACAAGCATGTTGTAAAAATAAACTATTTGAGGGCTTCCTTCTGAGTCTGATTGTTTGTGCATAAAAGGCAAGGGACCAACAATCTGCATACAAATAGTCGCATCTGAAAAAGGGGCGTGCATGCAAGACTTAAGTACTGGAACAAGACTAAAGTCCAGAGGTGAATGAACAACTATAACATTCAGCTGGGGTTTACAGCCGGTGGGCACCAAGAAGAAAAAAAAGACTCAGTTTTTGGGTTCCATTACTGGTGCTTTTCAGCTCTTCTTAGCATTCACTGGCTGTAAACTCCAGTTCTTGCTGTTTGTCCACTTCTGGACTTTACTTGTCTTTCAAGACCTGAGTGTTGCACAGACGCTTTGCTTTTACAGATTTGGCTAATTTGCATGCAGCCTCTTGGTTTCTCACCTCTCAGGCAGGAGGCTGTGTGGTCTCGAGGCGTGGTGTCCACCTTGAGTGCTAGAGGTTCATGGCTTAAACCCCAGGAAGGGCTGAGATTTTTTTACGTGGACTTCTAGTAATTTCCCCTGATCTCTGGTGCCCGAGCGCATTGTTACGCATGCAAAAATCAAAAAGAGTAGCCTAACAGTGCTGTCCGGGCACAATTTTGAGTTTAAAATCTACATAAAGTATTTCAGGATCCTCACCGGTGCTACAGAGCCTGTGCACTGTGCTGAGCTTCTTCAGGCTTTGACTTAAGTTAGAAGAAGAACAGAGCAGGAAGCGCTTGTTGAATGTCAGTGGATCAATGCCCCTTAGAAAACAAATTGCCAATAGCTGTTTTAAGGATGAACACAGGCAAAAGGGAGTGGCCATTAGGACAGGTGGCCTCAGCAATGTAAAGATTATAATGACTAGAGAAATGAACTAAAGCGAGGACATTATCTTTCTAAATGTGTAGAGGTGAGATTGTTGGCCTCGTTGTGTCCTATCTCTGTCCACATAGAGTGACTGGTCACCTGCAAAAGTATTGCACAAGACATGACTCCGTAGCTCTAGCCGCGACCTTCTTAGGTCCAATCATTAGTACCCACAAACTGAATGACAAAGACTGAATTTGAACCAATAGTGTTCAGGATGTGTGAGTCATGGGCAATGACAACAGCTCACAGAAGCCAGCTGCAGGCCTCGGAAATGAGATACCCGAGAAAGGTGGTCCAAGTGACAAGAAGGGACAAAGTCTGCAATCAGACAATACGTCAAGATCTTGATACCCAGCCCTTACTAACCCGAGTAGATCAGTCACAGTTACGATGGTTTGGACATGTATGCAGAATGGGAGAAAATCGGCCACCATGGCAAGCATGGAAGGCTAAGAACCAGGGAACCAGACCTCTGGGACGACCCAGAGTGAGCTGGGAAGACAACATCCGACAGTCCCTAACTGACAGAGGACTGGAATGGAACAAAGCCAGAAAGAAAACTGCTGATAGAGACGTCTGGCAAACCTCTACACCCCAAGGTAGAAGAGGAGCGACTAAGTAAGTAAGTAAGTGTTCAGGATGCGAAGCAGGCAACATATCAACTTTGCCATTTTGAATTCGGATTTGAACTAATCCTGTTATGATACAGGTTAGGTTAGTTGCATATCCTTTACAGGGCTCTGCAGAATAAACCCAACAGCCTGGGGCTGTTGTGTGGTTTTTCTAGGCAAATTAACGTCCAGTAGGTTGGTTATGATACAGAAGACAAACAAAAATTTTTGTGTGGGGGGGGGGGGGGGGGGGGGGATAAATGGAAACTGTTTCCTCGACTGATGGCCAAATTCCATTCTGACTAATAATTCATAAGTGGAATTTATATTTTTTAACACTATTTTTTATTGAAACCAGATATAGAAATTGTACACAAAAATTCAGTCTGATTACGTTTAAGTTGACTGTACTGTACTCTAGACATTGCTTCTGAAACCCTTATCAGTGTAATCTTTCTTGATTTATTTTTATTTTTAGTATCTTCATTTACATTTGTTCTGTTTCCTCCATCAGGTTAAGAAAGGCAGTATTCTAATACATGTTTATGTTTGCAACTTGTTTTAGGTATGCCAGGCATGAGAGGTAAGTGTTGTAAGCTGTCACTGTTGGTATATAATAGGTTAAGAAAAAAACGATTGCCAAAGTCAGGAGAAGATATCTGTATTCTTTGTCCATGTATGAGCACCTGGGTGTAACGAGGGTCTGGCCGGCTCACTACAATCAGGAAAGGCAAGAAGGACATATAGCCCAGATTGTGACCGGTACCTCTCTCGACTAGCTGCTGAAGATAGGGACCGCGCACAGCTGGGAATGCCCCCGAGTGCTGTGATGTCAATTCTTGAATCAGTTCAACTTTTCATGAATGCAAAGGAGAAAACTGGAGTATATCCTGGCAGGGGGAGAAGATGCTAGATAGTTTTGACATGGCGTGGAAGATGGTCTGTGTCATAACTGATTAAAAGTACATGAGACAGAAGGTTAGGTGCTTTATTAATATTCTACCCCAGATGAAGTCCCAGGACAGGTCAACATTTTAGAGGCTGGTAAGAATGGGTTTCCCGGCTTTCTGATGCTTTTAACGACCCTAAAACATCTAGAAATGACCCTAACCCCAACCCACCTATGTCCCACGAGAGAGTGCAGCCTGGGTCCCATGACTGCATGCAGCCTATACTTCCACCCTCTAAAATATTACTGTCCAGTGACCTGTGAATTTTCCCTGTTTAAGGTAAGATATTAATAAAGCACCAAAGGTTGTGGATAGACATGACTACCAACGCCAGTTGACATATGGACTGTAAGAAGTAGATGAGACAAAACGAACAGGAGATAGGAGGTTGTGAATAGGTTTGCTGAGTCATAAGACATATACTCTAATTTAAAAAACAAAAACAGGATGTAAAGGTGCTAGGGGATTGCCTTCACGCCAGGTTAAAATGGGAGCAAGATGACCACGTTAAAAGACCAAAGAAGAGCTCTATAAAGTTGGTCAGTTTTACCACACCTTAGCATGGATGGGATTACATGAAAAAGAAACTACACCAGGTTTGGCCATTCTGCAACCTATCTGACCATCTGCTGAGGGTGCCACATGAAACACTAATTCTGCAGTTCCAGCATTGATCCCCCGAAACTTTGCACTTGCTTGTCTTTGGTGATCATAATGTGCATATGCATCTATTCCAGCATGACTAACAAATAAGAATTGTTTATGTAGTTCAATGGTTCTTAAACTTCCTAATGCCGGGACCCTTTCATACAGTTCCTCATATAGTAGTGGCCCCCTATCCATACAATTATTTTCGTTGTTACTTTATAGCTTCTGTAAATATGTGTTTTCGTGGGGTCTTTGGCGACAACTGTGAAAAAGTAATTTGACCCCCAAAAGGGTAAAGAACCGCTGCCATAGTTAAAGCGTCGTTCCTGATGGCTGATTTCTTCTGTCTAACTGGCAAGGTCTGGGAAGTCTTGTAAGACGTGCTCTAGAGTTTGCTGTGGTGCGCTGTGATGACTTGCTGCAAAGCTGGAGAAATATTACAATCATAAGAGGAACAGAGCAGATCGAACTGACCTTCCTTGTGTGTGTGGGGGGGGGGGGGGGGTGGTAGACACACTGCCACTTAAAAGAGCATGATGTAACGGTAACTAATTAGGGGTTGTGTTCTTTGAGGTCAGAGTTCATCTGCCTGAGAGGTGAAGGACCAGAAATCTGCATCCAGATGAACCACATCGGCACAATGGATGTGTATGTAAAACTGGAACAGGGCTAAAGTCCAAAAGTGGAACACACACACACACACACACCCCCCCCCCCCCCCCCCCATTCCCAAAAAAAAGTTTACAGCTGATGAAGAAGACATTGTTTGTTGTACCTGCTAAATTGTGTATGTGGTGATATCAATTAACCATCTCGTGTTCACTTTTTCACCATAGGACCAGTCCCTGGCCAGCCAAGAATGGGACCTCCCATGTAAGAGGAAGAGCTGTTGTAACTACACACATTTTCGCCATTAAATCATCGTCATGTATCACAAACAAGCTGAGACTGGTTGGTTTGTGATGATTGTATGCTTGACTGTAAGATTGTATGTGCAGATTGAACATAGCTGTTTTTTTTTTTGGTTTTTTTTGGGTGGTGAGAGGAAAGATATGATATGGAAGAGTGTAAGGTCTATAGAAATTTCCCCAAATGTGCTTAGCCCTGTGGAGGAACATGCAAGTCTGTGCCATCTGTCAAGGGCTTAGCACTCCCCTCAGAAATAGCTGACAATTGGTTGTTTTTCCTGTACATTTCATCTTTTCTCTACTCCTGGACAGCCTTGCAGGATGAGATCTTTGAAATGGGCCTTTCTGTTCTGTCTCTTGATTTTCTACGAGTACTAAGTAAGCCTCTGTTTTTTTGCTGGACCAGCACAGTTTTTAAACTTGCTGAAAAGAAGGTCACACACTCGAACTCGACTACCACATTCACACTAATTTAACACAACTAGGAGGTCCAAACCTGAAACCAGTTAGATGCTGGCCGGACAAACAAACAATTCACTGTTATACTCGCCAGTGCCAAGTATGTAATTGTTCAGATTGCGCCAGGTGCTGACAGCCAAATGACTACATAGCTGACTGAATCACATATTGGGAACTGGTTAAAAGTATCCTTTGGTCTTCGGTGATGGGTTGTGTTACAGCTGTGACAAGATGGGTGTGGGTCTATTGAGACTTTTCATTTTTGAAGTATTCTAGTATGTGTGTATATGTGCTTATGAGAAGATTTGATGATACTGTGTGCTGACTTTTGTATTTGTGTAGAATAAAAACCCAATTTCATTTTGATGATATTTCTGGTCTTTTCATTTCCTTAAGTGTTGGCATTTGCCTGTTCTCATGGGTGTTAGGAGTTAAGGTGATTTAAGAAACGACATCACAGCACTCCCATAAGCGCTCTGTCTACATCTTCAACAGCAAGCACAGATCTCCTTTACAAATGGTGCCCGTGGCAGCAGCAGTCTTATCATACATCCGTCTCACCTTTCCTCTAAGCGACAAGTGTAGGACAGATCCCTTCGCCACTCATCTGCCTCATTCTGACTAGACTGATCTTGGTTCACCAGCTTTAAGATCCTGGTTGTTCGCCCATTTGCTCAGGTAGATGCACTCCGACTTCAAAGGACGCTCCCAGTTAGTCGACTCTTACAACCTGCCTTTAGGAAGACGGTGGATCCGTCTGCCCCCCTCAACCTCCCCAATGGGAACCCCCTGAACCCAATTTGATGATCCATTTGCTTCTCTGAATTGTACACATGCTCTCATAGAGCCAAACCATGTCTACCTGCATAGACCAGAGACACTATATCAGGGGTCTGTAACCACACGAGTGGGACATGCTCAAATAATCTATTTAGGAACAATTTCCTACCAACAGGGCATTTGGCATCCAGCCAATCTGCCCGGCTGTTCATTTTCCAGCACACCAGAGACACTATATCAGGGGTCTGTAACCACACGAGTGGGACATGCTCAAATAATCTATTTAGGAACAATTTCCTACCAACAGGGCATTTGGCATATTACAATGCTATTAGATTCACCATTCTGGGTTTTGGTCTCCATTTCTGGGGGGGTGGGGGGATTGTAAAAAAAAACTTTAATAAGCAGGCTGTTTAAAAAAACAAACTATTTTACTGTCTCTGTGTACCACTTTTCACTGAGTTTGAGGATTTAGGGCCGCATGGTTAACGCTGTCGCCACAGACTAGGCATTAGGTTGTTTAATTCTGCCCCTACATAAAAACTCCGGCTGGGTTCCAGCATTGATCCCCCGAAACTTTGCACTTGCTTGTCTTTGGTGATCATAATGTGCATATGCATCTATTCCAGCATGACTAACAAATAAGAATTGTTTATGTAGTTAAGTGGTTCTTAAACTTCCTAATGCCGGGACCCTTTCATACAGTTCCTCATATTGTAGTGGCCCCCTAACCATACAATTATTTTCGTTGTTACTTTATAGCTTCAGTAAATCTGTGTTTTTGTGGGGTCTTTGGCGACAACTGTGAAAAAGTAATTTGACCCCCAAAAGGGTAGAGAACTGCTGTCGAACCCAGGTCTCCCTCAAGATGGCCCACATTGTAACCACATGGCTAGCCGCTCCTTAAAATTAAGTTTGCTAAAATCAGATGTGTTGATAATAGGTGCAGGTATTACGGCCAAGCTGTAAACCACAAAGTGCAAGGTGCTCTTTAAAGGACAACCACACAAAAAAAAGCTTGGTCAACACGCATGATGTCTGAATCACTCTATCCACAGAATCCCCTCTTTAGCCTAATGTGCTCTTACATTTGATAACGTATTTTTTTTTTTTTTAAAGGAGGCTTTTCCAGTGATTACTACTACTACTGTTATACTACCTCTTTGAAAGTTATGCATTTTAAACATGGTTATTTCTCAACATTTCAATAAAAATTAAAGCTAATACCAAACTAAAAATTGAATAATTATGATGTCAAATGGAGCAGAAATATAAAAAACTAAAGCAATGGACTACAAACACATCACAGTGGCAAATATAAGAATGCAGCGAGCAACAGATGTCTTAACATGGGCAGAAAAGTGGCATGTTGCCATAAACACAGACAAAACATCCACAACCCTTTTCTCTCCCCCCAGGGACAAAGCTGCTAGTATTCACTTAGGAACATCCTTGCTAAAGGAAGAAAGCGTCCCCACTTATCTTGGAGTAACATTAGATAAAAGGCACAACGAGGAGCAAAGATATAGAAAATGTAGAAGGGAAGGCCAGGAGACGACTAGGCCTACTTGGAAAACTGGCAGGTACAAGATCGGAAGGAATTTTTAAAAAACCTAAAGAAAGTTTAAAATGGGGCAACCCCACTTGGAGTTTGGTGCAACAGCTTGGTCAACAAGCTGCTAATTCCGATCTACAATTGTTAGAGAGTGCAAAATCAAGCTCTTAGACTTATCACAGGATCCATGAAAACTGCACAAATCCTGGAGATGCAGAAAATAACTGCAATGGAGACACTGTAATATAAAAGAGACACTAAAACTTTGATCCAGATAGAGAAGTTTAATAGTATGCAGTCACACCCAATGAACAAAAGGTTTGATGATCTGGCATTGGGGCGTCTCAGACGTAGCAGCTTTGTCTATCGGGGGAAAAGACTTACATAAAAATCTGTCTCGGTGTAAATCAGAAAGTGAACACAAGTAGAAGAAGAATCAACGCTTCATGAAGCAATTCAATGTCCAGGCCTGCTGACTAGAGGAATACTGCTCCTTGATAACAATTCCAGACCACATACGGCTCGGTTAACTAATGAGATATTTTAACCATCTAGGGTGAGAACATCCACCTTACAGCTCCGACTGAAACCCCTAGCGATTTCCAACTTTTAGTTGATTGAAAACCCAACTTGGCAGGAGACATTTTGCGAATGAACGCAGAAGTTGAATGTGAAGTGAAGTGAAAATGTGGTTTAGAAAACAGAGCACGCAGTCTTATGCAGCAGGTTGGGAGGACTGATAAAATGAAAGGGACAAGTGAATCAATGATGGTGGAAATTATGTTGAAAAAAATAGGGACAGTGTGCGTGTAAAAAAGAATGGTTTTAAAGTTATCGTCTATAGTTTTTTTCAACAGCTATTTGTGACTTACGTATACTTTCCCTTGTATATAAAGCTTAATTAATATATTCATGAAACAATACATAGCACTGCAAAATTAACCACACATTCTTTAATTTTTCTAATTTCATTTATTTTTCCAGTAATTGCTTTTGTTTTTTACATTTCATTTGCATAATGCATTGACTTCAACAGTGGAGAAACATTCTATGAACATCATTTTTACAAAAAATATAAATAAAATAACAGGCATTACATACAATTTTAACATGTGGCTGTGAATCACGGACAATTACTCAACAAGCCTAGACACACAAATGTTTCAGGCTTAAGATAGGTGGTTCTGTGTAAGAATGCTTAACTCTTTCAGTCCCAATTCATTCCCAAAAGCTCAGTATTGGAACTCTGCGCTGGCTGCTGAAGATGAAGACGGAGCTTGCATGGGAATGCCTTGAGTGCTGTGATGTCAACTGCTAGAAGCACAGTGAAAGGACTGCTCAGGCCAGTCAATAAAGGCACTTGATGATGATTACTGACAACTATGCACCTACACACATCATCCACCTCTCCTCCTGATACACATATAAACCTCATCTACATCACACACATAAACTCACCCTAACACAAATATAAACTTTCCCCCCTCCCATGCACATAAACTCTCCTCCTCCCACACATATAAACTGACCCCCTCATACACAGTACTTGTCTGTCACCGTAAAAACAGTGATCCCGAGAAGAGGAAGCAGTATAATTGTATGCCGTCCCTCCCCCGGAGTGTGGACCAGATGCCTGGTCACTCACCATTCTCTCCACACCGTGATGACCCATGTGTGCTTCAGCACTGTTCACCTACTCCCCAAGATGACCCATGTGTGCTTCAGCACTGTTCACCTACTCCCCAAGATGACCCATGTGTGCTTCAGCACTGTTCACCTACTCCCCAAGATGACCCATGTGTGCTTCAGCACTGTTCACCTACTCCCCAAGTTGACCCATGTGTGCTTCAGCACTGTTCACCTACTCCCCATGATGACCCATGTGTGCTTTAGCACTGTTCACCTACTCCCCAAGATGACCCATGTGTGCTTCAGCACTGTTCACCTACTCCCCAAGTTGACCCATGTGTGCTTCAGCACTGTTCACCTACTCCCCATGATGACCCATGTGTGCTTTAGCACTGTTCACCTACTCCCCAAGATGACCCATGTGTGCTTCAGCACTGTTCACCTACTCCCCAAGATGACCCATGTGTGCTTTAGCACTGTTCACCTACTCCCCAAGATGACCCATGTGTGCTTTAGCACTGTTCACCTACTCCCCAAGGACCCTGTCCACATCTAGCAATAATTCATCATCCACTGATGCAGAACCAGCCAATCAATCTACCTGTTTCCCACCACACAAGCACTGGAGAAATTATCCCAAAACTACCCACATCTCTGAAGCGATACCTGACTGTTTCCCACCACACAAGCACTGGAGACATTATCCTAAAACTACCCACATCTCTGAAGCGATACCTGACTGTTTCCCACCACACAAGCACTGGAGAAATTATCCCAAAACTACCCACATCTCTGAAGCGATACCTGACTGTTTCCCACCACACAAGCACTGGAGAAATTATCCCAAAACTACCCACATCTCTGAAGCGATACCTGACTGTTTCCCACCACACAAGCACTGGAGACATTATCCTAAAACTACCCACATCTCTGAAGCGATACCTGACTGTTTCCCACCACACAAGCACTGGAGAAATTATCCTAAAACTACCCCACATCTCTGAAGCGATACCTGACTGTTTCCCACCACACAAGCACTGGAGAAATTATCCTAAAACTACCCACATCTCTGAAGCGATACCTGACTGTTTCCCACCACACAAGCACTGGAGAAATTATCCTAAAACTACCCACATCTCTGAAGCGATACCTGACTGTTTCCCACCACACAAGCACTGGAGAAATTATCCTAAAACTACCCACATCTCTGAAGCGATACCTGCCACTGCACTGACCTTTCCCACCTTCCTCGACAATGACGTGTATGTGCAGCCAGCAGAAGCTGTTACGACTGCCTCCACCTCCATTCCCACCTTTCCCTGCATGCGCTGTGGCAGTAAAGATCTCCAGCTGCTTGGGATCTTCTTACTGCAAACGTTCAGTATTTTGTGGCGCCTTCTGATTGCCCAATCTTGAATTTCTTGTACAAATGGCTACAGATGGTTGTGTACAGTTCCCAATCTAAATTCAAGGGTCTGTTGCTCTCAATTAAAGAAACTGACTGGGTAAAGAAATAGAAACTAGAATAAGAGAGAAACAAAAAAGCTGCCTTGCATATAAGCTGGAACAGTCAAAGTCTACGGAAACAAGCCGCCCAAATAATGCTTCTAAAATTGGATGTACTAAGCCAGAGGCTTAAAGAAAACACAATGTAACGTATTTCTGACGAAGAGGCACGCAAAGAAATGATATCTACAGCCTCTTAATGTCACTGTTGACATAACAGACACATACAAGTGATTTCTTCCAGGTCTCCTCCACCTGAAAGGTCCCCACACAGGCCACAGCACACATACTTTAGGAGCATAAATTAACCTGGAGGAGTAAAAGAAGAAACCGCAGGAACAAATGAAAAACATTTCTTCTGAGTCTTCCTCTAGAAGTGTCTGTACAAAGCTCACAGCGCTCATTTAGGACCCCTCTGATATCACTTCTGTAAGGGCCCTTGTGTATTAAAATATAACAAAAGGAGTCAATATGCACCAAAGTCACCTCAGCGTTAACCGTATTCCGAGCAAATCGTGTTTAAATATAAGACCAACTCATACACCACTTTCTTCTTCTTTTGTCATCTTCCTAATACCAGGTTGAAGTTTTTACGATACTTGTCCTGCGCTTCTCGGCTGGCAGCGGCAATTAATTTGTTCATCCTTTTACAGGCTTAAGCAATACCATTTATCCATTTCTTTCTCGATCTTTCCCTCGTCTTCCTTCCAGATGTTCTGCTGTACAAAGTCTCATATGCAATTTGGTCTGGCTGCATTTTCACTAGATGACTGAACCATTTCACTCTGTGTCAGTCAATACAATCCAGACATGATCTTATACCAACTGTCTCTCTAATGCTGGTGTTCATAACCCTGTCTCTTCTAGATGTTACTGACATGTATAGAGCCACCCTGATGTAGTGGCTAGACTAGTGGTCGGAAAACTCTTCAGCCAAAAACCAGCAGCAGGACGACAAAAAAAATGTTTGAGAACCAAATTCCTTTTCAAGAACCATGTTTTTTAGAGTCAAAACTGTTTTGTGGCCGACTGGCCAAGCCACATTCAGGTTGCTAAAGAGCCGCATGCGGCTCGAGAACCAAGATTTGCCAGCCACTGGGCTAGACGCTCGCCTGCGGATCTGGATGTCAAAAGTTTGGACTTTTTTTTTTAAATTACTCTTAGGTCAACTCAGCCCTGAGTGGGTACCAGGCAAGTTCTTGGAAGTAAAGGCAGGCGGTGTGATGCTGACCACATCATCCACCCAGTGCCGACTGGTCTCTACAAATCTAGATCTTGCTCTATCTGCCTAATACGCCCGAAGGCGTGGAAAAGGGTACTTTAGTTTACCTTCTTTTTATGCAGACAGCGCATTACTAAAAAGTGTATCTGCATAAAATTTCCTAATTCATCTTAGCCTACCCACCTGGAGTAGAGGCTGAACAGATGTTTGCTAAAAGTGATTGAGGCAGTATCAACAGAAATCTCCTATGTTATGTAAACAGAAAGATCAAGTGATAAATTTGAAGTCACCATAGTAATCACGTGACTGATTCGGAATTCTCAGCAGATATACATATATCTAAAGCAACTCCACAATATTGTAAAGCAACAAACAACAGCCCTGAAACTGCACTCAGGCGACTTTAGTGTCCCCCCAAAGAATTATCTACCATTATCCAGTCTCCTTCAATAAGTGCACAGCACTCCACAAAGATAAAAACTGAACAAGTATTGTCAACAACATGATGTATAGCTGCCCACACTTGAACTCTACAAATGCTGGAATGTGTTGTCTTTTGGAAAATCCATCCGGCTGTATCCGAACCCTCGTGATCCGGCAATGTGTATAACTTAGGACAAACAAATAAGGCCACTAGTCTTACAACTGCAGGGGGGTCATGCTGCACAATCACAGGGTCATGGTGCACAATCACAGGGTCAAGGTGCACAATCACAGGGTCATGCTGACCAATCACAAGCTGACTTGTAGCACACACACCGGGCATTCAAAGCAGTCCAGACCGGACATGATGAATCTCTGTTGTGAAGAACAATTTGTTTAACCCCGGCAATTTTTCTTTGCCAGAACTCTTATCTGGACAAGAGTAATTTCTGATAAGAAGAACCACTTCTTGGGTCCCTGGTGAGTTGACCTTATCAGGTCTGCAGAGAACGTGTTTATGCTGCCCTTGTACGTTCCATATTGGTTTATGGGAAACCAACGTAATGCTGACGTGTATGTGCACTTATGAACCAAACACGAAAATTAAATGTTTGTGCTCGATCTGCTGTTATCCCACAAACTTGTATTTCTCACCTGAAGAATGCTAAATGAGTTTTAAACTGATTGTCGTCATCTGAGGATGCAATTGCATGTGTCCGTTAACAGCATGGCTGAGATATCTGCGACTTTAGGGGCACCGATCTATATGTTCTGAGTGCCTCATCACGCTGTATATATATGGTGCTTCCATTGAAAAAGAACTGTGATTCCAGTAGTGCACTGCCACTGACAGTAACTCTGGTGGCTGCCTTATGCATTTAATGCACGTGCCAGCTGTTAGTTTTGTCAGGACTGCAGTCTATTCCAGTTATTTGAGAGGGCCCTGGAAGGCGTTTCTGTGTGGTTTTCACTTGCAAAGGAACAGTCCAATTATGGGTTGACTAAGTGCCACGAAGTGGGAACTAAGGTATATGTTCACTGATGACCACATATTATATGTAACCTTAAGCCCGCATTTCTAGTGTCCGAATGTCTGTGTTGGCACTTCCGATGGCTGCCACAGGTATGTAATGCGTGTGTATGCTACTGGATTTGCTGAGACTGACTGCAGTCTATGTTAATAGTCTACACAAGGGACAATGACTGACCTTCTGCATGGTTTTCGTTGGCAAAGAAATAAAGCAACTATGGGATCTATCCGTTTGCCATTATTTTCTAACTGTGATCACCTATTCTGAGATCTTGCTCAACATTATATCAGAACCTCACAGTCAGCGTACAGATGACCACATACCAACGCAGTTTAAACTTCTCTTTCTGAGATGTCAGATCAGACTAAAATCTAACCGCCCTAAATAAAGGCATTGATAACCATGCGCAATAGGTTACACGGTTTTAGTTCAGAGCTTTAGAGTCTACCCCGCGTATATAATCGCGCAGCACCTGGTCAGCACACACAGTAAACCTGATGGCTGATTCCAATCTGACGGACTCAATTCACAGAAACACCTGGCCAGTCTACACCAAACCTGCCAAATACTGCAATCACCGACTTTCCATTCCGAAAGAATCTGGCCATCATGAACAAGTCTTTGCCTCTTATGAGATTTGAGGCCACTCAGAAAATTATTCTGCAGACTAAAGTCAGAGTCAAATCGCTGATCATTTCAAGTATGATTTATACAAGAGTTCAGATTTCCGTGTCGGCCGCTCTGATTCCATTAAGAGCTGGACATCTCGCATGTTCACTCTCTTAATCCGGGGGCGCATCACCTGAAACAAGCAAAATTCACAAAAATTACACCAGCTCATAGATAGTACCATATTAATTCATTGTTTAAAGTATACGTTTATATGCTGTACATACCCTACCCACTGTGACTCTCTGAGATTACTGCACCCACCCCCCAGTCACTGCACCCAAACACAAGTTACTGCCACAGCCTACAAGTTACTGCACCCATCACAAGTCAATGCACCCAGATCCAAGTTACTGAACCCATACATAAGTACTGAACCCATACCCAAGTCACTGCACCCAAACCCATGTTACTGCACCCATACCCAAGTCACTGCACCCATACACAAGTCACTGCACCCATACCCAAGTTACTGAACCAATACCCAAGTTACTGAACCAATACCCAAGTCACAGAAATGATACCAGCTCATATTAAATACTATACTCACCATTGTCTAATGAAGCCTTTTATTGATGTATAAACCCCACTTTTACTCGCTCTAACATCACTGCAAACAAACAGGTTACTGCAGCTACCCACAAATCACTGCACAAATCTAACAGCTACACACAAGTTACTGTCTCCACCCATGAAACTCCTGCACGTACCCATGGGTTACTGCACCCACACACTAGTTCCTGCATCAATACACAAGCTTCCACCCCCACACACACGCTCCCATCCCCACCCATGAGTTCCTGCACAATTACTAGCGCATCTTCAGCCACAATCGTGTACTCACCGACGACATGGAGGAACTGGTACTTGCATCTGATGACCCAACACCTGCACCTGCCTGGAAAAGTTGATACAAAGAATAACAAGTGCGCACAAAGAATAACAAATGCAAAAATAATTCTTTTTATTCTTTCTAAAGTCATGCGATGTGGCATTGGTAGTCATGTCTATAGACAACCTTCTGACTCATGTACTTTCAATCACCTATGACACAGAATATATATATGTTTTTATGTATGCATGCATGCGTGTGTGTTTGTATGCGTGTATGTATTGTATAATGTAAGTCTGTGTATAAGTGTGTATACATGATGTGTGTGTGCATTATTTCATAATGCATATGTTTTATATAAACATAACATGCATTACTAATAACATGCAACCATGCTCTGAAAGATGAGTGCTTAGAAGGGCCAAATGTAAGGCGGTGCCTACGTGCCCAATTTCTAACTCTTTGAAAAAGTTTGCTCGTTTGTTCTCCTCCTCTTTAACTTTCCTACAGTTTTCTCCGTCTCAGAATAACAAGTTAAAAATGGGGGAACTGAAGAATGAGCACAAAGGAATAACAAGCACATATAGGAAATAACAAGTGAGTAACAAGCAGACATAGCTGAGTTGAAGCAAGAAGTGACATCACAGCACTCGGGGCATTCCCATACATACTCCCTCCTTATCTTCAGCAGCCAGCTCAGATGGTAACAGTCACAATCTGGTTGTATGCCGTCTTGCCTTTCCTGACTGCAGTGAGACAGCCAGACCCTCTGGTTACACCCAGGTGCCTCATTCTCTCCAGGCCATAATAATATTGTTTCTCTACTGATTCCGCTGCTTGTTCCTAAAGGGCCTTGACCACATCTGCCTTGTCATGTAAGAAGTAACAAGCAGACACAAGGAATATCAAGGAGACACAAAAGTAACTAGTGGACATCAGGAACAAGACACAGGCTTTAGGAAGATGTCACAAAAGTAAATAAAGATAAAAGTGAGAGGGAAAAAAAGCATATACATACCCCTGTTTTTGAGGAGTCTAAGAAATCTAACTTCCTTTTCTTACGCGGCCCAATAGCGGCCAGAGCCGTCTGGTTGGCTTCCTTCTGCCGTAGCTCTTCGGCCTCCATCTGTTGCAGCTGGTGAGAGAAGAATACAATGTGGTCATGTACAGACATGTTCAAGGAGGTCTAGTTTACAACTGCTCCCAAAAGGCTGATTGGTTTCAATTTATGTAAGTCTAAATAAATTAAGAGATCCCAAAAAGGCTGATTGCTTTCAATTTATGCAAGTCTAAATAAATTCATCATCATCAGTTCTCGTTGTGCCTAGTGGCACATGAGGCTTCAGAGAGGACTTTCCATGCTTTCCTGTCCTGTGCAATCTTCATTGCAGTTTTCCATGTCAAAGATGCCGCACTCAGGTATATCAGAAGTCATTCTCATATTGTGACCAAGCAATTTCCATCTTCTCTTGGTTGTCTAAAGTTTCTTGGTTTGTGGCTTGAAGTAGTTTAGTGTTTGAGATTGTATCTGGCCAGAAAATTTTGATAATTCTACGTAGACATGTGTGGTGGAAGGTGGACAGCTTGTGTGCATCCTTTTTTGGTCATTCTCCAGCATTCCGCTCCGTAAAGAAGAACTGGCAAAATGATGCTCTTGTAGAGTCGGAGTTTCATTCCTCTGCAGTAATTGTTGGATTTCCAGATTTGCCTCATCCTTCCAAAAGCAGCTCTAGCTTTGTTCAGACGTGACTGTATGTCTTCCTCTGTCCCTCCCAGTAGGGACACCACACTGCCAAGATATGTGAAATGTTCTAGATTTTCAAGTGATTGGTTACTTATGGTCACTGGTTGTTGGTTTGGACTGTTTGTCATGATCTTAAAGTCACAAAGTGACCTTGGACGAGGAAAACTAAATTTCCGTCCCCGTTAAATGATCCGGCAGGAAACTGTCTGTGGCTCACCTGGACCTTTCCGCGACCAATGGGTAAAAAAAAAAAAAACCTAGTCTAGCACACAGGAATAACAAATGATGAATTAAAAATCAATATCACAGCACTCAAGACACTCCCATAAGCGCCCTGTCTTCATCTTCAGCAGCAAACGAAGAGTTTTAATTTCGATGGTACATCTGCCTTGCCTTTCCCCTAAATGGAGCTCCGACCAGATCCCCAGGTAACTCTCCACAGGGCCATTCTCCTCAGACCGTAATGTTCTATTACAGTAGTAGTAGTACATTTCACCCCATTAGGACATCACCCAAGCGATAAACAGCCGATGACACAAAATGCCACCATGTGGATGAGATCACCCGTGGAGAGGTCCCAGAAACCGCATTTAGCCATATTTATGGTGGGGCTTCAAAATAATGAAAAATTGCATCCCACAAGGGAATGACTAGTTATTAGTACACAGTAATGATCTATTTGTGCCTCTTGACTGTTTTCCAGAACCGGTTTCTATGGATTTTCTACTTAGCACACACAAATATAGCACCCACAAGTCTGATATGTTTCAATGTAGGCCAAGTCAAGAAAAGGAGAACAGTGCAGCAGTGTGGATGAGATGCAAATGTAAACAAAAAGAACATGTGGTACATTTGAACCTGCAGCTGTAATCTTGTGACTCTCTTGTACTTCCCGTGATGAGAAGACAATACGAGATGTCTATTACAGGGGAAAGGATTTTTTTTACAGCAGAACATCTGGGAGGAAGGCGAGAGGAAGAGCAAGAAAGAGAGGGATACATGGTGTAGCCGAAACCTGCAAAAAGATGAACAAGTCCCGTCACCCGAGCCGTGCAAGATAAATACAGAAAACCATGACACTGAGCTACAACCTGGTTATCAGTGAGAGGACAAAACCATGACACTGAGCTACAACCTGGTTATCAGTGAGACGACAAAACCATGACACTGAGCTACAACCTGGTTATCAGTGAGAGGACAAAACCATGACACTGAGCTACAACCTGGTTATCAGTGAGACGACAAAACCATGACACTGAGCTACAACCTGGTTATCAGTGAGACGACAAAAGAAGAAGTGGAAAGGATTTAATGTCTGTGTGCTTGATTATATGTTGGTGCATCTGATGAGATAAAGGAAAATATGGAAGGCGATAAACTGTGTAATGTATTGTGCCCACATTATTTAAATGTAGATACTCATTAAAACCTAATCTGTCACGGATACACAGCCCCTAAATCAATGTGTGTATTTTTCTTTTTAACTTGGGGGAGAGGGTAGAGCAAAATGAAATGTAGAAGCAGAACAATGTGCACAAAACACAAATCGACCTTTTTACGCAGGGCCTTACTCTACATGAACTAAATGCACAACAATAACAAAGGGAAGGCTACTTTAACCACCAGCGCCCAACCAGGGGATCACGTTAGAAACTATAAAAAGGAGACGTTCTGCCTACCCATTTTATTAGGCTTTATGGTCACAGTTCACTGGATTGATTAAACTGGAAATTGGCACATTGGTACTTGCAATAATCTGTTATGCCACAATTTTTTTCCTCCTGGATGTTAATTATAAATGAGATATTTTACAAACTACTTTTACAACAAACAGCAAAGGCAAGTCTTTGTTTTCATGAGCAGTTTGCACATCTACCACAGCAGATATCACAGTCAAGCTGTTAACCACAATAAAACACGCCAGCTGCCCTTTAAATGGCGAACACGGAAGAACTTTACTTATACAGGCGCACACAATTTCCTTCCTCTCCAACAGAAGCCTGGCAGATTTCACACACTTACCTCTTTTGCCTTCTGTTTCAGCTTCAACTGTTCAGGGTCTTCATTCTTGGATCGACTCTACAAAAAAATATAGGGCAAATCATAGAAATTGGCAGAGAGGGTTTAAAAATAAACAGTATGAAAATTAAATAAATTAACTTAAATATCTAGGATTAATTTTCACTCTTGATGGAAAAAAACGGTCAGAGGAATCAACATATGATGCTCAGAGGTAAATCAGGAACTGGGACAACTAATGCCAGTTCTGGCATGTCAAAAGAAGGGATCTGTCCATAAAGGAAAACGAAGAACTCTTTTTTGCCGTCATCATGCTGCCAGTGTATCGCAACAAGTATATGAGGCACTTATTTTCCAGAAATATAAGCTTTAAACAGTCTGCGTCTTTTACCATGCTAGCACATTTGTTACCTAATGATTTGTTAGGAACGATGATATCAGGAGGAGAGTCAGCACAGAACCAATATTGAACTTTACAGGTAGACAACAAATCAAATGGTTTGGCCATGTAACTGGCAACAGACAGGACACCACAGAGAGCACTGTTATACAGATACAGATGTAATAGATCCAGAGGTCGACCACACACAGAACACAGAAATATCAGAGACACTGAAAAGTACTTTATACGAAGCGAACAGAAGGGCCAGAGATCTCTTCATGCCCTGATGCCGCAAGGCATTCCAGGAGTAGAGAAAAGAAGAACTGTTTGAAAATACCCAGTATGGGGCCTCATTTGAAAAAAAAATGCATAAGGTCTAAAGCTCTTTCCGCTTTATAGTTTCTTGTGCTCAGTGTTCCCCATTTGTCCCACTAGGGAACCGTTTGCCCATAAATGTCTCAGAAAAGATTTCCACACAGTGCTGAATTCAAGTTAAAAGTAATCCAGTTTGCAAAAGTGAATGAAATCCTGACGCTCAACATAAATTTGGTTCTCCTGCAACTCAGAGAATAATCAGAGAATGGCTAACACAGAAGAAGCCATAAGAGGCAAGTCAGCAAAAATGGCCAGATTCGGACCGGAACTGGAGATATGGTTCATGAAATGAAATCGTATATTATTTTTTTAACCAAATTTCTGATCTCTAAATCAAGGTGCACCTTACACAGGGGATCGCATTGTACGTGGGGACATAAGGACACGAGTGGAAAACCAAATCAGCAGAGAGGAGATGCCTCAGAAGAGCTCCCAGAGTAACAAGAGATAACATGTTAAGTGAAGAAATGAGAAAAATGAAACCAGCCACACCATTATGAAAGAACTACAGATTTCTTCTTCTTTGCAGACTGTAAACTGAAGCAGAAAGTTCTGGTAAACTCAAGCAGAAAGTTCTGGTAAACTCAAGCAGAAAGTTCTGGTAAACTCAAGCAGAAAGTTCTGGTAAACTCAAGCAGAAAGTTCTGGTTGTTTGTCCACTTCTGGATTTAAGTCTTGTTCCAGAACCTGAGTGTTGCACATCCGTTTTATTGACCTGATTTATTTGTATTCTTCTTCTTCTGCTGCGTTTATCTGAAGATGTAATTGTGTTGTGTCTGTTCACAGCATGGCTGCAATATTTGCTCCTTTTGGCCAACACATCCGACTTCTGCGGGCATTTGTTGACCAGGTTAGTCTTCCCGGTATTTTTTATTTGTATGCAGGCTGTTGGTTCCTTGCCTCTCAGGCAGATGCAATCCGAAACTGAAGGAAGCCCATGATAAGTTGACTATTATGACATTCTTGTTGGGGAGCAGCGGTTCTATTCTTGTTTTCCCCACAATAACTTATCTCACCTGTACACAGCTAAACTTTCTTCACCCTTCATGAGACTACACTTCCCTCACCTGTACGGGACCTAAACTTTCCTCACCTGTACAGAGACTATACTTCCCTCATCTGTACAGAGACTACACTTCCCTTACCTGTACGGGGACTACACTTCCCTCACCTATAGGGGGACTACACTTCTCTCACCTGTATATGGACTACACTTCTCTCACCTGTACAGAGACTACACTTCTCTCACCTGTACAGAGACTACACTTCTCTCACCTGTACAGAGACTACACTTCTCTCACCTGTACAGAGACTACACGTCTCTCACCTGTACAGGACCTACACTTCTTTGACCTGTACACAGACTACACTGCTAACCCAGCTTACCTTTATGGCCCTGAGTAGCTTTTCTCGTTCCTGTTCTTCGTGTCGTTTCCTCTCCAATTTGTCGAGCTCCTCCAGAAATTTGAGCTTATGTTTAGTGTCTGATGCTGCCTCGTATCTGTTGTCAAACTGCAAGAGCAGAAATAGTTGCATGTACAATGTTGTAATAAAAACAGTTGAATAAACAGAATGAAGAACTACATAGTTAGCTGAATAATGTTACAAGCACAGCAGAAACTAAACATACATAAAGTACATAACAATCTTAACCGTAGGTAGTTTTACAAATACATAAATACATAGCTGGATGTTGTGATGGCCCTTTGGGAGGGAGTGAACAGTGCAGAGGAACAGATAGATCATTACGGTCTGAGGAGAATGGTGCTGTGAGGAGTTACCAAGGGATGTGGCGACGCTCGGCACTCAGGGGAAAGGCGAGACGGATATACAATCAGACAGTTGCTGGTAACATCGGAATTTTTAACTCTTGGCTGAAGATGGTGACGGAGCACTTATGGGGGTGTCCTGAGTGATGTGATGTTGATTCTCAACAGGCAAATCGGCACACAGTAAGTGATGCAGTCAACATCATGCCGGCCTCCTTTACTTCCCGGGACTTTACCTGGCACCCATTTAAGGTTGGGTCTACCTGGAAGCCAATGCCAATTTTAAAGAAAGTCCGGCACCTTTCAGATTTGAACTCCCACGACCTTTGGATCCATAGACGAGCGTCTTGCTACTACACCACAGTGTCTCCTGAATACATGAATTGACTCTCCTAGCAGATTTGGCCGGCAAGCTAGACGGCGTCGTCCGGCTTAGTGGGAGTTATGGGAGTTATGTTCCTTCACCAAACTCAAAACAAGTCGCGGAAAAAGTCACGAATCAAATGACATACTTACCTACCATCATCCGGGTGCGTGTAGGGTTGCGTACGGTTGCGTCTAGGGTTACCTATCATCCTACGGTTGCGCGTAGGGTGTCTATCATCATCATACGGTTGCGTGTAGGGCTGCGTAGGGTGTCTATCATCGTCCTACGGTTGCGTGTAGGGTTGGGTTAGCGGTAGGGTTAGGGGTTTGGGTTAGATGTGAAAATTTTCACGTAAGAGGTCGAAATACTGGCCGACAATCTGATGTTTGTGGGAGTGGCGCCACTGGACGTGTGGCAAATATGACGGCAATAGCGCGCGGCTGGTGCCCAATCGGTGGCGAATTGTCCATGTCAGTAGCATCCACCGTCCGTCGACTGTGCGCGATTATAGGGAACTACGGCGTCACAATTGTCACATCTAACGCTACATCTAACCCTACCCCTAACTCTATCTCTAACCCTAACCACGCAAATTTATCGGTCATTAAAGATTACAGATCGGCAAAACACCCACAGACAGGCACACAGAAAAAAAAAAACCCAGATTTTCCCGCAGCGTCAAAAGAAAAACCCAGATCTGGGGGACACAAACAAGCATTGGCAGCCCTGATGTCGACCTCACTGTCGTGTTTGAGTCGTGACTTTTTCCGCTCATTGTTGTGAGTGCGGGCAAGGGAAAGAACTCCCACTACGTCGACCGAAGCCGACCTACTTGCCGGCCAAATCTGCTAGGAGAGCCCATGAATTCTTTAGGTTTTTTTTTTTTAAAGTGTAGAAATAGAGAAAACGGGAAAAGATAAACTGCAAAAATTGTTGGGCACAAACTGAAACTGTTAATCATATATAGTGTACAAGAACCTGTACATGGTATATGGGGGATGGCGAACACCCCTCAGGCATGGCACATCAGCCTGCAAGGCAGCGGAGGTTGCACAGGCAGGAGAAATGGAGGCAGAATAGAAAGAACTGCATCGCTAATCCCACACTTACTGCGGCTTCCACCTGTTGTCCGCACTGCTCAAGAACTTTCCGGGCTTAAAGTGGACTAATCAGCCACTTTTATACTCATAATCACTGATCATTGCTACTGTGGATGAGAAGTAGTCTTCATCACTTGTGACGGATGTTGAATTGAGAACCGACGTCAAAGTACTTGGAACACCCCCATCAGCGTTCCGTCCCCATCTTTAGCTGCAAGCGAGGAGTTAAAATTCAGATGGTACTAGTAACTGTCTGATTGTATATCCGTCTCGCCTTTCCCCTGAGTGTCAAACGCCGGCCAGATCCCCTTGTAACTCCTCGCAGTGCCATTCAAGTCTGACCGCAATGATCGTTCTGTTCCTCTGCACTGTTCACTCGCTCCAAAAGTTCCGTTAAAACATCCAGCTTGTCATACATCAGTTTGCTCCAAAGAGGTGCATTAACGGCCAGTCTATCTGCCTGCTCAATTTCCGACACACTGGCATGACCTGGAGAAAATATCCAAAGGATGCTAACTAAATGGGACCTTTGAAGTGAAGCTTGCCACTCTGCATGGAGCATGCCTGTCGCCAGCTCTCTCAACATGCTCTGTGAGTCAGTTACAATGATGGCATGTGTGAAAAGCTGATTCTCAAGCCAGCAGTGACTGCCTCCACCTCCATTCTCAAACTAGACGTGACATCATATCACTTTTGATGGACGAACAACAAGTACCTGTACATAGCAGTCCCTTTCCCACGAGCACCAGAGACATACAAACACACGGGAATACATACAATGACAATGAAAACAGGGAATACTATTACATGACAGGCCATACCTTGTACATCTCCACCCTGTGTTCAGCGATGGTGGACAAGTTGGCAACCATGCACCGCAACCGCTCCTGGGTGGCATGGGATATCATACTCACCACCCCAGGGCTGATCTCTTCAATACCGTATTTTTTGGCTGCAACACAGAAAGGGTTCAAGTTTAGAGAGCTGAGAGGGATGGGGATCAAGATCTGTGCTATGAGGTGTGAGAAAGGAATGGAGTTTATGTTGCGAGATAAGAGAAAGATTTCGGCTCAATGGGAGAAAAAGAGCAAACTCGTTAGGTAAAAGGGATCAAGCTTAGTGACAGAAAGACATCAAGCTCGAAGAGAGAAAGGGATCAAGCTCAATGCTATCAGATGAGAAAAGGGAATTAAACTCAGCGTTAAGAGATTCATTGTGGGTTCTGGGGCCCCTTTGTGGGGAGAAACAATAAACCCCATGCCTATCCATACACACACAAAAAAGAATATCATTAACAGTCGACTAACTGTGAGCTTCCTTTAAAAGTCGGTGCATCTGCCAGTAAAACAACCAACTGCACACAAATGAGCCAGTAAAACAGATGTACAAGCGAAACTCAGGCCCCGGGGCAAAGCCCAAATGGACGAACAACTAGGACTTTCTACCGGAGCTTACAGCTGGTGAAAAAAGAACAAGTCCTGAGTGAAAGGAAGTAATCACACAGTGGTAAGAGAGAAGGGGATCAAGTTCAGAGCTGAGAAAGGAAGGGATCAAACAGTGGTAAGAGAGAAGGGGATCAAGTTCAGTGCTGAGTAAGGGAGGGATCAAACAGTGGTAAGAGAGAAGGAGATCAAGTTCAGAGCTGAGTAAGGGAGGGATCAAGTTCTGAGTAAAGAGATCAGAGGAAATAGATCAAGTTTGATTTTGAGAGAAAGGGATCAATGTTATGTGAGAAGTGACTAGCTGGTTTCTTTTTTTAAATTTCTTCCCCCGACCACACACGACTACTCGCCGATCCTGTCTCTTCCCTCTTCCTTTCTGTTGCATATTCGTGAGGAGAACGTGTTAGCCACATCTAGGGGTATATGTGTGTGTTCGGTGAAGACACATTTTAACAAGAGCTGATTTTTCTAGCATGGATGTACAACCGTTCAGGAATAAACATCACACTATAAAGAAAACAGCTCCCTTTTATTTGTACCAGGAGCAACAACAACACATCTTAACCTGTACAGCTTGCCATGACTTCATTAGCCGTGCAGTCTCAACACCTCAGGCTCACAACACCCACACCCCCACCCCCATAAATTCATGCAGTAAAGATATTTTATGTAAATGTATCCTTGTCCTCACTGTTGTACCATGATGTGGGCTGTCTAGCTACAGTGGTAAATATTAGCTATTTTATATATATCTTCTTCTTGTCTTTCTAGCCCCCAATGGAGCATAGGCCCTCAACCAACTTGCACCGTCGTTCTGCGTTTTGCTGTTGCATGCAGCTCTCTCCATGTCCTCCCCATCTTTCTAACTTTATTCTCCAGCTCCCTTCTCCGTGTGTTTTTTGCCTTCCTTTATTCCCATGCCCCTGTGGATTCAAGTGCAAAGACATTCTAGTTATATTCTTCCGTTTTCTCAATGTGTGTCCTATCCAATGATAGCCTCTTTTCCTTATATATATATATATATATAAATCAATGTTTGTGTGTTTGTTTATGAGCTATAGACTCGGAAACTACTGAACTGATTTAGCTGAAATTTTCAGGATATGTTTGTTTTAATACCGGATGTTTACCCATCATGGTTTGAAATTCAACCTGTCATTATAAAAGATAGGTGACCACAATTTTTGTAAAAATCTTCGAAACTAATATTTCTATTTTTAGTGACATTTAATTATAGCCACGCTAGCAAATGCGCATGCGCCGTAGTCAGAACGCAAGACTTTCACCATTCGCTGGCGAGATACGTATAGCCAACGCCTTCTCTAATAAACAGAGTAGGCCGTGGTTCAGCAAACAAGACTATTATTATATCTGTGCAGGCAATGATTGCAGAATAACCATATTAGACATGATTTAAATTTTCTGTCTTTTCAAACAACCTTCGATGAGTCGGAGAGTAGCCGATGGATGGCGGGGAGGGGTATCAAGGACTATTTTGACGTCTGGGCAGACAATTACTGCGACATTAAGCGTGTTAGACCCGTGCCATTTCAATAATATATCTGAAAAATTGCCTGCGGTTTTGAGTTGGGTTATAATCGGGACACAGTAGTAGGAACACACATCTCAAATAGTTTTGTTCTCTTTTCGCTGTTCCGATGGAGTGGTTGCTTGGTCGAATGGTTAGAACACTTGGCTCTTGTGCGGGAGACCAGGGTTCGAATCCGCAGCAGTTTTTTTCCTGGGGGCAAGATAAAATCCTCACCTGCACTGTCGTGGCGACAGCACTAGCCATGTGGCCCTTGATACTTCAAAAAAAAACAAAAACAAAACAGGTATGTCGGTAAACCAGTTGATAATTAAATCTGACCATTCCGCATACTTATGATTTCATTTCAAACTTTCCGATTGCATGGTTACACTGAAATTGTTCATTTAAAGAGCTTAACATATGATTTTAAAGTTCTCATTACTTAATTTGTTTATATTTTACTAACACTCCCTCCGCTATTCTAATTTTTTTACGACTTACTTTGTTATTTACAAGTACAGTAGTAGCTTTACTTCTGTCTCCTTTAAATATAATTGTAATTGCAAGAGGTCATAGGTCGCAAGTAGAGAAGGTGCATAATTAGACCCAATGGAACACTTACCAATTGCTGTAATCTTCCTGAGCAGAGGCGTGGCCGGCAAAAAGATCTCATCTTTACAAGATCGGAGGTGAGCACCAATAGCATCCGCATTTGTGGTAGCCAGGATATTTTTAGACTCCTCGGACAGATTCACTCCTCCCATTGTCGCGACGTCGTTGATATCATCATCCCCATCTCTGCATTTAAAAAACAGCTGTATATAAGCACCTGACATGTTTTGTTTTTAAAATAAAACCTTAAATAAACATTTTTTTTTAGTCTTTTGCAAAAGGTAATTAAAGGGTGACTGAGTGAAACAAATGAAGAGAGAAAGAAGGGACAATAGACAGAGGTACATAATAAACAACAGTGAGTGAATGAAAGAATTACTTAAGTTTTCAAAGGGTTAATAAGTGGTTAGTCAAACAAAACTATCCACATCTTTCTATAACACATGTTTTCATTCAACATCTCGGATGGTGAAATAACAGAAGAGGGCGAACAAGAGAGACTGAAGGAAAGGAGAACCAGGCAGTAAAGGAGAGAGGAAAGGGAGAGAGTAAGAAGGAAAAGAAAAGGGGGAGAAAGAGATGAGAGAGAGAATAAGGGGAAAAAGAGATTTAGTAAAGGGGAGAGGGCGGGGGTGAACAGTGGATCAGAGAGAAGGAAGCGAGTGAAAGAAAACAGAAAGGAAGAGATTGATAATCTTACTTTAAAGATTCAAATTTCCTTTTCTCCCGATAACCTGCAGCAGGAGTGGATGGCTCTGGCTTGATGGTAACCGCAGACAGAGCAGGCCTGGCCGGACGCACCATTTGAGGAAATGGCTGAACAGCTATCCGGGGACTGGCCTGGGCGAGAGTGGAATGTGAGCGAGGAAGAGCCGGCACTAGGACTTTGTTTCCACTTTGGGTCACTGCCATCTGCGGCAAGGTCTGTCTAACCACTGCTGCCCGACTTGCTTGTGGACCAGGCAACTGTGTTACCTGCTGAAAGCAGAAGACACTGACAGTTACCGATATAAATTTGAAACTGCTATAAAGTTTTCTTGTCTTACAGAAACCATTCTTTAGTCTTAAGAAATTTTTAAAAAAATATTCTTTGTGACAGGAGTTTAAGGGGTTACTACAAGGCACTTTTTCCAATTTATGACAAAAATATCACTCTTTCAATGTGTTCGTTTTTGTAAAGTTCGGCATTCGTAGAATAGATAACACATAAAATTTATGTAATTTGTAAACAATTTAGCTTTGAAAAGTGAATACTAAAGGCACCAACCCATGCACTTTTTTAAGATAAACAAAATTTAAAAGTCAGTTTTCTCACATCTCTATATTTCTGTTTGTTGTGTGTGTGAGATCCTAAAATCTCAGTTAATATAAAGACTAGAAACATGAAATTTAGTATGGATAATCCTTGAACAATGTTATAAGGACTGGTCTTTTTTCAAAAGTAGATTTTTAAAAGTTTTTGTTTTTTAAAATGTGATTATTGTCTTATGATGCAAGATTTTTTTTTACTTTTTCAATAAACCTACATTTTAAAATTCTACGAAAAATATTTAAAAACACAGGATAAAAGGTCATGAATCCATCATCTGTTGTTTAATATGTATGTTTGTTCTTGAAAGTTAAGGATTCTAAGTACATGTAGTTCCACCCCCCCCTCCCAAGATGGCGGCTACTGCCATGACAACCATGATTTTTTTTACACTTAAGGTATGCAAATGTAATAACATGTATCCCTTTAAATGACCATTATAAAATAATTGCTCTCTCTGTAAATAAAAAAAAATGTTTGGCCGTAGCGACCCCTTAAATGTAGGTGGAATGTATATGCGCCTTTTGGCCGACATTTATTTTCTAGGTTAGCTTTCCGGGGAATTTATTATTGTTTTTTCGTTCGCTTGAAACGGATTATCTATATATGAAATGTTGCCTCTAGTATGAACTGCACTGTCTTCTGTAATTCACTTAGCGACCCTGTACTGTAAAGTTTGGCCTCCCCCAGTGTCTGTCTTGACCAGAAATGTTGTATCCGAGACAGTCTTGAACGATGAGATCTGTTGTCTCAGGTGCCAGTCTACATGTGCCAACCTTAAATTTGGCGTACATGTGGCTGTGAAGATGACCCTGCCCTGTTAGGCGTAGAGTGATGACCGGCTCTGGTCTGTCCTTAATATGGTCATTGTCTAGTGCTGTTTTTGGTAGCTTTCTGATTATTCTTTTCTTCTGTCCCAAAGCTTTTGTACCTCAAAACGAGTTTTAAATTTAGGGATTGAAAAAAATACAGCTCTGAGATAGAAGGGAAGTTACAATAATTGTTCTTTTATTGTTCGCTTCAAATGAATTATCGATATCTGCAATCGTGTCTCTAGTATGAACTCCACTGTCAAAGTTTGACTTGCACAAATGTTTCTCTAGGCCAAACGTTTTGCCTTATATTAATTATAATATAACTGCTGCAGAATGTATGGTATGCCACACCATACAAGGCAAATACTAAAGAGAGAAAGGATACATAACAAGACCAAAAACAAGGCGGATAGTTAACATCGGAGTAACTCTAAAACATTACAATGTGTCTATGTTCACAGCGGCCAGAAGAGCATGAATCAAAACCTTGTACCCCCCTCCCCCTCTAAAACAAGCTTATCATAGAGGCCTCTGATCTGAGAGAGATCAAAAAGGGAAATGAATGAACGAAAGAACAAACTTTATTTTCAGAGGGTTATAAATTGGGCACGCAAGCCTGTCTTACATTCTGCCCTTTCAAGCACACAAGAGACAGACAGAGGCTAAAGGAAATGAGAGAGACAGTAAAACAGAAATGAGAGACAGACAGAAACCAAGAGAAAAGAGAAAGAGACAGTAACAATTAAATGTGAGAGACAGGCAGAGACTAGGGGAACAAGTTTAGAGAGACAGTAAAAGAGAAATGACAGAAAAGAGAGACAGACAGAGACTAAGGGAAAAGAGAGAGATGGTAAAATGGAAATGCAGACAGAGACAGAAAGGGAAAAGAAAAAGCCAGTAAAGGGGAAAAGAGAGAAAGACTGACAGAGACTAAAAAAAGAAAGAGACAATAAAAAACATTGGGAAAAAGAGTTTTTAAAAAACCGAATGGTACAACTCTATCTTTTTGTTGTGACACCAACTTGGACCATTCTGAATGTTTCCCGTCTTCTTCTGCTGCTAGCCAGGCAGACCAGGAAAGAGAAACTGGATGTTCTGGCATCATGTCACAGAAGAACATCTGTGCCGAGACAAATCATGTCCTCTTTGCATCTACAGGCTGTAAACTCTGGTGGAAAGTTCTGGCTGCTCGACCACTCCTAGACTTCAGTCTTGTTACACAACCTGAGTTTTGCATGCACTTCCATTTTACTGGTCTGGCTTATTTTCGTGCAGCCTGTTGGTTCCTCGCCTCTCAGGCAGAGTATGAGAAATGACCGACAAAAGGCACCGGCTAGGCATGATTATCAAGGTCACATTGCACGAACTATAAAAGAACCCCTTAGCCTGGACCTACGACCATCTGCAATAAGTGCCAAACAAAAATAGTCAACAACAAAAGATAACTACATAGGTAGGACAACAACAACATAAGTTCCTGGAACTAACTCAACAGAGCACATATTATGTTTTTCTCACATTATGTACAATAATTATACATAGACATATTGAAGTGTTGTCTTTTATGTACAGACTGTATAATCAACTTGCATGAACAAAGGAATAAATATAAATCCAAGTTAAACCAGTTCTTACTACCTGTTCATAGAAACTGAACTTAATCATAAGTTAAGAATAGCACGTGCACCTACCGGCATGGATGTTCTAATGGTGTGAGCTGCCACTACAGGTCGCGGGGTAATGACCTGCTGTGTGATGATCCTGGGAGGTGCTGTGGTCTGGCCAACAGGTTGAGTCTGAGCCATGATTGCAGGAGGTGGTGGTTTGATCCCGTCTATTGTCATCAGACCTTTGATCAAGGAATATCTCAACACAGGAAGGCTTTTCTGTTGATAGGAATGAAATGGAGAAATAATTAATGGGAACACAATGGAGAAACAATAATGGGGATGAAATGGAAAAATAAATAAAGGGAATGCAATAGAGAAAGAAATAATGGGATTGCAATGGAGAAATAGATAACAAGAATGTAACTGAGAAAATCAACGGGAAAGTAATGGAGAAAAAATGTATTAATGATCTTAATTTGCCAGGTCTCGGACAATCTCCATATCTGGCCCTTGAGTATACTTCCTTGAACAGTCCCATCACAGAGGATGACACAGCTGGACCAATGTAACATAATCACACATGCAGGGAGGAAAACATTAAACAGATAGGGACACAAAGCCACTGAACACGGCACGCAAACCTAATTGAGGCCATCACACTTTGCACAATACCAGTATTGGATTGGAGAGAAAGTTGGAACAAGACTGCATCCGAATTATACTCCCCGTGTGGGTTCCAGGGTCCCCTTGTAGGGAGAACAAGAATACACCTGATCTATTACCTCCTTAACAAGGATGTCAAAGGATTTTGGGACTTTCTTCAAAGTCGAAGTGCCTCTGCCCGAGCAGCAAGGAACAACTAACTGCACACAAATAAGCCAGTAAAATGGATGTACACGCAAAACTCAGGACCTGGAATAAAGATGAAGTCCTAAAGGACGAACAACCAAGTTCTGCCACCAGAGCTTACAGCCGCTGAACAAAGAAGAAGAACTATAATAACAAAGCATGAAATGGTTCAGCCATCTAGTGAGAATGCAGACAAACCAAACTGAATATGAGACTATTTACAGCACAACCTCTGGGATGCAGGTGAGAGGAAGACCAAGAAAGAGAGGGATAAATGGTGTAGCTGAAGCCTGTAAAAATATGATTCAATCCACCACCCCTTGAAGTGCAGACAAATACAGAAAACCGCTGCACTGGACCGCAACCTGGTTTTAATGAGACGACAAAAGAAAAAGAACTTTATGCAAGAAAACTGTCCACAATTATAACCAGAAGCTTCTCTAATAAAGGATCTGACAAAACACAGCAAAAATTGTTGTTGCTTTTTTCTCTATCAAATCAGACCCTCTTACCTTGAAAAATGGGACAAGATAAATCAGACGCACAGACCCTCTTACCTTGAGAAATGGGACAAGATACGGCTGCGGCGATGACTGAAGCTCTCGCTGCAATCGTTCCGTGAACACCTCTGGCTCCACTTTCCCGTCCTGCACAAAGATAGAATTCAGGTCAGTCAACAGTGGTATCAGCTAACTATAACAACAATGCTACAACAATTCAGCCAATATTATTGAGACAAAAAGGAACAGGTTTTCATATCCTAGCTCGTTTAATCTTAGATCTCAAAGCTGTGTGTGTGTGTGTGTGTGTGTGTTGTGTGGGGGGGGGGGGGTTCAATCTTAAAGGCAGAGACTCTCCTTTTCAGAATAACAACAGCTTTTCTTCTCCTTACAGTCAAATCTGTCCACAACCTTCTGTCTTGTGTCACTCCAAGCAACACAGAGACACATGATCTTCCAAGTCTTGATGTCAAACTGAGCATCTTCTCTCTCAGCTCCCTCCCCATCGTCATGGTGTACTCTGGTTTGCTTCCCATCATGACATGGCCAAAGAATGTAGAGTTGCCTCCTTCTGACGTGGAAATCAGTTCTTACTGTATGTCAATTTCTTTCAAGACACTGGTATTACTCTTTTTAACTGGTTATAACAGCACAGGGAGAGAGAAAAACAATACAATCAATAAAAGAGTAATTACACACTTAACCTCTACACCAACCCCAGCTGTTCATACGTACAATCATCTTTTAAAAAAAAAGATTAAAACCAATCAATAATCACAGGTAAGGGTTGCTGTAAACTAGACGCAGCAGCAGAGTTGTTGTATACCAGAAGTTGCAGCAGGGTTGTGAAGTGATAGGCATTCAAATAGTCTAGGTTACCTGCATTTAAAATTTTGGTTAACCAATAACGCTAGGAATAGATTGTACTGATGCAGTTTTGCATTTACAGCGCCGACTTTCATAACTGACTGCTTGCCTCGATTCTGATGTGGGACTGTTAGTGTTGGCACCTGCGAACGAAAATGTTTTTAAAACACTCCCATAGCCACAAAGGCCAACAAACGCCTAAAGAGGCAAGATGTGTCAGCTGAAACATGCACATACTGCTGCTCTGCTGTAAACCGCCACAATGCAATAGGCAAGTAAAAGACGTTTTTTTTCCAATGCCTTTATGTGTAATGGGCATATAGGGCTAGACTTATACTCTATAGACCAATCGGCACTCTTTGGTGGATGTGGTCAACATTACGTCAACGGCCTTTACTTCCCAGGACTCCATCTGGTACCCTTTCAATGCCTGGCTGACCTGGAAACTAAGGTCATTTATTTTAAAGTCACGGCCAGTCAAGATCTGAACCCATGACAATCGGATTTGCTGGTGACCGCCTAGCCACCACAGGACGGTTCCCTATGCTATTATGTAATCCACACGCACACAAAAAAGAACATGATAACAGATAGCCAATGCACTAGCCACTAGGCAAGACAGAAAAAACTTACTAAAAGGCCCTGGATCAACGCTTTTACATTTTTCACTGTGTCCTTTGGTTGACTGGCAGCTAGATTGATGAGCGTCGACAGGAAGTTCTTGCATTTGTTCACATTTTCCAGCATGGCTTTATCTGTGAGGTAAAGAATCAGAGATTTGATTCTCTGGTCAGAATGGGGGGAACAGCCAGCAGCTAGAGTCTACTATATGAAAACAGCTGGCTACAATGCAAGAGGTTGACCAAGAAAGATATGGGTAGAAGGAGTAAGTTAATTAATTACACACTGAACCACTTAGTCCATAAGCACTCAGATCCCCTCTTCAGTAAACCCTGCAGTTCTATGCTGGCTTATTTTTACTTCTTTGGCTAACCACATAGTGTTCTCGTTTGAAGACACCCAGTTTAACTTGCTGTTCTTGCAGTCTGACCATGGTTGCAAATTCACAGTTCTCAATTGGTTCACGCAAACATCTTAGCTCTCGTAGAGAATTCAGTATATCAGCCTGGCGCACGGCTTGTCCAGCTTTCACAGAAGTAAAAGAGCCACTACAGAAACTTAATAGGACATTTTATTTGTGCCGCTATAAGTCGCAAGTTGTAATGCTGTGGAGTCTCAAGATCAATGGCATCTTCAATGAATCTTCTTCTTGGTCCCCCCTCACCTCTCGATGTTTATACTTTCCTATTGTATATTCTCGTCGCTGGCATCACTGGATTCATGATCATTAAATGGCCAAACAATTTATGCCCCCCCCCCCCACCTCTCGATGTTTATACTTTCCTATTGTATATTCTCGTCGCTGGCATCACTGGATTCATGATCATTAAATGGCCAAACAATTTATGCCCCCCCCCCCACTGAATTTAGGGTTTTTGTTTTAATAGAAATAGAAATGAAAACAGCCATACAATTCATTTAAAAACAACAAATGAGAGGGTTTAGCCACCTGATGAGAATGCTCTGGCACCAACTGCCACGCTGAGGACATATATTGAACAAAGCAAGGAGAAGGCCATGCAAGAGATGGAGTGACATCATCAGGGGGAACCTAGCAGAAATGAATACCAACTTGTACAATGCATTGGAAAAAGAGTACAGACAATCCTTACATATCACCCCCTCCAATACACCGCTGAGGTAAATGGTGGAAGATAAGAAAACGTTTCAATATAAAAATGGCAGCTGCAGATACACAGAAAAGAGTTGGGACAGTAACAAAAGAAAAACAAAACAGCGGAAAACTAAGTAATGAACCACAGGAACCAGACATCACTCACGGGTGTCTCCAGAAGCCTCCCCAGTGTTGCTAGCGATGTTAGCCGGCACTGGCTGACTGACGGACACAGTAGCAGACTGACCCGACAGGACTTTGGTGACCGTGTCGGTGGACGGCTGCAGACTCCTGGTGGACATCACGGTTGGGGTCATGGCCGCAGCCCTCACCTGTACAGGCTGCTGCTGCTGCACCTGTGGCTGGATGGTCACCATCGTCTGCCCATTGCCCGCAGCTCTGACTGATGCCTGCGTTGTCAGAGGCTACATAGAAAATGGCACACTGTTGTTATCTCTTTAGGCATCGATAGCTGTGGTCACATTCTGATTAAAATATATACATAAAATTGGTGAGATTACTTTAAACAAAGACACAATGAGAATCAATCAGGCAAACAGTCATGTGGCTGCTCTTGATGGCGTCCCATTCTAAGATGTGGAGTCATACATCTCTTTCGGCAGTAATGTAGACAATGATGGAACTGACAGAGATATTAAATTTGAATACAAAAAGGAAGAGGAGCTTTCATAGCACTATGAAATTTGTGGTCAAAAGAAATTTAAACTAAGACTAAATTAAAATTTTTTCATTATAATGTCAAATTAGTATGACTGTATGGAGTGGCACATGGAGAACGACTAAAACTATTACTAATAAACTAGACATATTCATTAACTGGTACCCACTCATAATAGAGGGAATTAAATGGTAGGATAGAATCACTAATGTTGAGCTTTGAGAAAGAAGTTTCAGTAGACCAAGAGGTGAAGAAATGGCGCTGACGTTGGATAGGACACACACTGAGAAAACCTGTGAACAATACAACTAGAATGTCTTTACACTGGAACCTACAGGGGCACAGAAGTAATGGTAAACCACACCAAAAAAAAACACATTGAGAAGAGAGCCCGGAAGTGAAAAAAAAAAGATGGGGAGGACATGAGGTGAGCTGCATGCAATGGCATAAGATAGAACGATCCGGTATGAGTTGGCTGAGGGCCTATAAGTACTGGATACTCTGACCCACCAGTTGAATAGCCCTGCTCTGAAGCGAACATTGATGTGAAAGGTCAAAGATGATGGATCAGACTCTATCCCTGATATCAAAGTAATCACACAGGATACAGTGGAACAAAGAAACAGACTGCCAGCCCTTGTGGCAACAAGACAATGAATGAATGTAAACACAGTTTAACCATTTATTACCCATCTGTACAGACAAAACACTTACATTTGGTAACCGACCGCCACTGGAAGCCATGGATGTGATGACAGTGCTGCCCCCTTGTGCCTGCTGAAGAGCTCCCTGTGGTAACCGACCGCCACTGGAAGCCATGGATGTGATGACAGTGCTGCCTCCTTGTGCCTGCTGAAGAGCTCCCTGTGGAGCCGAGACAAGCACTAGCTGCCCATTTTCGTTCCTCATTAACAAGGCACCTTGTGGTAAGGTCAGTGTATTCTGCAAGACAATAAATAATCTATTACCATAAATAAGTAGGCCAACTTTACGCTACAAGAGTCAAACATGTACCCTTACTGAAACTAATTAGTCTAAATCTCTAGGGATCAAGATGAGACGACTAATGGTCATTATGAACGTCATTTTGAGTCAAGTGCCAACTCCACAATTAGGGTTTCCATAACATGCTTCTTCGTCTTATATGTACAATCTTTGCGACTGCTGCTTCCTCATTGTGGGTCCCAGGACCCATTGTGAGGAAAACAAGAACAGACCCACTGCCTCCCCAACCAGCATGTTGTAAGAGTTAATTAATTGGGGATGGGGGGGATGGAGGGAGGGCTTCCTTTGGAGTCAAGAGTGCACCACTCCAGAGAGGCAAGGAACCAACAACCAGCATACTATTATATAAGATTTGCTAGACGGATGTGCACGCAATACTCAGGTTCTGGAACGCGACTAAAGTCCAGAGGCGGACAAACAAACAGAAGTTTACAGCCAGTGAATGAGAAGAAGAAGACTTGTCTATCCATTTCTTGACTGTCTCCAAAACAAGCATGTCCCAAGAGTCTGTAAAACGGATGTGCACACAACACCCAGATTCTGGAACAAGATTAATGTCCAGAGGCGGACGAAAAACTAAAACTTTTCGCCAAAGTTCACAGCTGGCGAACGTCAAAAAAAAAAAAAAAAATTATACTACTTGAGATGTCTTAGAGCTGACGGAGTAACAAGATGCGATAAAATTAAAAGTAAAGACGTTAAAAGAGGACAAGAACAGAAACAAGAGCTTTATTAAAGAGCAACAGTTGGGATGATCTGGCAAGAATATCCGGGCAAATAGGGCTAGACCTATATTTTATAAGCCAATCGGCATTCGGCGGACACAAAACTAAGCTAGATGAAAAGAGAGCAAAGAGAACGGTCTTAAAGAACCGAAAACTCACTTATACAAAGCACTGAACAGAAAACAGAAGATCTTTACCCCACTCCCTATGAAGTAACTAGAGGAAAATACAAAGAAAAAGGCAGAGTACTTTTATTTCTTCTTCTTTGCATTAGTCAGAGTGACACAAATGCGTAGTGCCTGTTTACAGCAGAAATGCAATATTTGCGCCTTTTGGCCAACACACACGACTTCATTAAGTATTTGTTGACTGCGTAAACTCTAAAGAATGTTACATGGAATAGGGATTAGCTGTGGCTTTATATGTGTGGGGTTCTGACTAGTTGTGGCTTTATTTGTGTGGGGTTCTGACTAGTTGTGGCTTTATATGTGTGGGGTTCTGACTAGTTGTGGCTTTATATGTATGGGGTTCTGACTAGTTGTGGCTTTATATGTGTGGGGTTCTAACTAGTTGTGGCTTTATATGTATGGGGTTCTGACTAGTTGTGGCTTTATATGTGTGGGGTTCTGACTAGTTGTGGCTTTATATGTGTGGGGTTCTGACTAGTTGTGGCTTTATTTGTATGGGGTTCTCTTTCTCCTTTCATTTACAGGTGTTGCTCCCGGAGAACATGTGCAGGAAAGATAGAAAGGTACCAACGGACACTGGTATGGTCAAAAAGTTGCTGGAACTGATGCAAAAGAATAGAATACAGATCGAATATTTTCCACTCTACGTACAATAATATGCACACAGATTGAATTTTTGTGTTTTATGTTCAATTTAACCTGCTTTAACTAAAAGTGTTGAAAAATGTACATTCGTTAGTCAAGCCAAGGGCCAAAATACCTTTTTTTTCCGTGCAACTGGAACATCGGGTATACCGGCCAAATAAAGCTAGATCCCATATTATGACACACCAACTGGCACTCAATGAGTAAATAGGATCAGTACCACATCAGCCACTTTTACTGTAACAGTACTTTATGGCACCCATTTTAAACATGAAAGTGCAGGCCCATTTTTTTAATAAGATCCGCCTCGATGTAATTTCTTCTTCTTCTTCGCTGTCACCAGTTGTAAATTTGTCGTCTACTCACTTCCGCACTTGAGCCTTTTTCCAGAATTAGGGCTTTGCGTACACATCTGCTTTTACAGATCTGGCTTTCGTATATGCAGACTGCTGGCTCCTTACCTCTCAGAGGAAAACCCCTAAATATTCACATTTTGTGAAAAGACGTGCTAGTTAGGGAAGCAGTGGGTCTAACCCCCCCCCCCCCCCCCCCAAAGAACCCACACAGTAATGTGGATTCAAACCAAAGATAATTAGGCTGATAAACAGGTGTCCAGTCACAGTACCACCAGTTCCCTATCCCAATTAAGTGCTTACAAAGATACAATGTACAAAGCCATAATAAATAACAAGAGCAACTTAAAACATTATGTCATAAACGAAGAAGAGGAGGGCAAAGAAGAACCTAGAATGACAACATCAAGAACTGGACAGGACTAAGTTATCATACACTTATTCATCATGCAGAAGACAGAGAAAGATGTGCTAGATCTTCCATCAATACACCTCCAAGACCCTAATGGGTCAAGGGTTATGTTTATGTCATTATCGACGTCTGTGCACAGTGAGCATCTCCATGCGTGCTTAGCCCCCCGATGCATCAGCCACTCCAAGGTACTCTTACTGACTCTTTCTATGGGGAGTTGGTTAGAGCATCTCCTGTCTTTACTTTGAAGATGACATAGACGTGCTTCACCAAGCTAAACTCCTCGGTCACACAGTCGTGTTAGCACCACAGCTTTGCCAGTATACCCCAACCTAGTCTGTACAGCACTGATGATATCAGTTCTGTTCTGTCTATGCTTCTTCCCGTTTGCATTAGTGCATTACTTGCCAGCTGGTCGACTTGCATTTCAATTCGACACACCCTGTGAAGAACTGTACGGGTCACTTAGTGAATTACTTTCAAAAGACATAATCAAGTTCAAACTAGAGACAACATTGCAGATAATCTATTTCAAGCGAACAAAAGAAGACTGAACGAATAAACTTTATTTTCAAATGGTCACGAATTGGCCACGCAGACCCTCTCTTACATCCGGCCCTTCCCAACTCATCTTTCACACATAAGTTGTATTTTATAAATAAAGCATGTTACCTTCATTTAATAATATGCGTATTATATATAACAAGAAAAAACACATAAAAGGCAAGGATGGTACAATACACACATATACTCGCCCACCTACTCACGCACTCCTCTTCCACTTAAACATATATATGTACTTACATACACACACAGAAGTTCAATATAGAAACAAAACAAAATTACAAGAGAACTCACTGTGTGGGGGGTCTGCTGCCTTGGAGCGAGTGTCGGATGCTGAGCACGAACCGGATTTGTGATCCGAACTTGTCCAGGTCGTATATGCAATGCAGGTCTCATTGAAGAAACACCTGTAGCCACTGCACTTACCGAAACCGAGGGCGAAGAATTTCCTAACATTGTACCAACAGTCGCCTGCAACAAATTCTGCTGTGTGATGGGTGTTGGGGTTCGAACAACACCACGGCCACTTTCTCCACCAATACCTTTGATAATCTGTTGGGTTCCGGAGCTGACCATCGACTGATGAACTCCTTGAATCACAGAATTTGAGGAAATATCACCTTGTTCCCGTTTAATGACAACATGATTTGCACCATTTTTCATAATCTGTTGAGATATCACAGATCCATCTTTGAGCTGTACACTCTGTAGATGTGTACTCCCGTTTGGTAATACTTTCTGCTCGGAGGCCACTGTGGTTAAGTTTAAATTATGAATTGCATTATTCGCACCAATAGTTACTTTAGTCAATGGTTGCGACACAATATTCTGTGAGGTGATGTTCATGTTTTGAGCGCTTGATGTGTGAACCACATTTGACGACACGCCATAAGAAGGCTTTGCATTATTCACAACAAATCTTACAGAAGGTGAAATGTTATTAAGTTGTTTAGTAACAAGAGGCTGTGGGCTAGAGTTCTGATGGTTAGTCGTGGTATAATTCACTGAATTACCTCTATTCTGCGAATTTGCAATGATGGAAGATATCCCAATAAGTTGTGGACTGCTAATGCTACCTTTTGCCGATGAATTCATAACTGGAGAATTATTATAAGCACTTTTGTTAACAGTTATCACCTGCGGATGAGCGCCGAGGTTGGACATGTTGAGAGTCATATGTTGTGGTTGTTGTCGTGCACCTCCTACTATCGAGGTATTCACAAACGAAGAATTGACACCCACATGGTTATTATTCAACGACGAATCTAAACCTGTTTTATGAGATTCTGTAGTAGATGCTAACTGTGATTCCAGAGACCCAACTAACGCGGAAACTTTAGTTTGATCAATCGCTTTGGAGAAGAAATCGTCAATACAACCTCGATCCGCCATTTCCAACTCTGCCAAATTTCAAATGAGACTGCGCATGAGCGGAAGTAGAACTGTGGGATAGCAATGGCTTCGACTGCGCCATCTACTTCCATTTCAAACAATATGGCCAGTGTCTCCTCGCATTAACTTCAGTTCACAAGGAGAACACTGTCTCTTTAAATGGCAGTTTGCTGAGATAATTGTGTATTTTTCGTTTTGTTCTTTATATTTGAATAATTGGGCATGAGCCAAGGACAAAATATGCAGGGGCATGCTGGAGTCCCTTATCTTGGAAGCAAGATCAGCTTGATATCGAAAGCAGAAATCCGGTACGAAGGCACACTCTATACGATTGATCCCAAGGAGGCGACAGTTGCTTTAGCTAAAGGTTTGATAGAATTAAAACGCTTTAATTGATCATTGTGTCTTTGTGTTGTCTAACTAAAGAACTGCATTAACGGATTTTAAGGCAGTACAAATTATCAGTTTGCTTGCATGTGAAAATTGTTGATGAGCACTTTCCGTTTCTCACTTTTATTCAAAAGTTTGATTGTTTTTTGTTGGCGTGTTGAGTAGTAAACCTACGCTACTATAGTTGCATCTATGCACTTATAAAACAAGTAAGTAGATCTTGGAAACAAAAATCCAACCACTTCTTTTCATTGTTTTAAGTTTGGAGCCTTGTTGCATGGCATGGATTTTTGTCGGCACACGAACTGATACTGATACAATATACATGCTGCAGGAGATCGTGGATTATGGAGAGGCATAATAATCGGCCACACCACTCGGCAAGGCACCTGATGATGATGCTGAAGTTTGGAGCAATTTAAAAATGGAAATAATTTGATTTTAACATAAAAAATAGGGACAACTGGCACTGCGTTTGTGAAAGTTTACCAAATCTTTATTTCATCAGTATATGATTATAAACCGACTCTGCTACATATCGTTGCACGATATGATTTACATAACTCCTAATGCTGCATACAGGTTTTTTTTTAAATCATATATCTTAATTCGATTCATCTGGCTAAGTTGCTTTTTTTTAAAAATGTTTTCTTGTTTTTTTAGTGCCGTGTGGTTCTTACTAACTCAATATATCCAGCAGGGGCATCACTAAGAAAGCCAGATTTTTTAAGCATTCTCTGACTGAATGTAAAAATTAGTCATATTAATTATTAACAATGCCTGGGATTCAAGAGACCTATACTTCACTTAGAATAGAGTTAGTAGGGAAACAGATCAAGAGTGTGATAATTATAGAAACCTAGATGGCTTACTTAAAACCTTATGTTATGTTATCGCAATTGATGTCACTGCGCATTTCCAACCGTTCTCAGTCCTTCGAAACAACAGCCATTTCTAGGTACTTTTGTTCCTATAAGAGGTTGGTTATAATGTCTCCTATCTCGGCCTCGAAGGAGGCATAGACGTGCTTCACCATGCTTTACTCACGCCACGTAGTCGTATTAAGTGTAAAAGATTCGTCATCCATTAGCCTAGCCCGTACAGCGTTGATGGCACCTACTCGGAGATGTAATGGTGCGAGAGTTAATATGATACAAAATGTCTACCCCCACTTATCAGCAAAGCACATGTTGGTGATTGTTTTTTTTCCTGTTGTATTTTTTCAGTTCGATCTTTTGGTACGGAGGACAGGCCAACAGACAGACCTCTGCCAGCGAGAAATGAAATTTTTGAATTCATCATATTCCGTGGCCATGACATTAAAGACCTTCATGTGTGTGAGCCTCCCCCACCACAGCCAACCGAAGGTGTCCCTTTGGATCCAGCAATTGTTAAGGTGTGCACAATGTTTTGTTTCAAATAGCTTTGGCTGTTACTAGCAACTGTTAGCTGGTATCTTTCAGAAAAATCACATATTCAGGGCTTATATTTTCCTTTCCAGTTCATATGGTAGTTAAGGTCCACATTTCACAGCCATATATACAGGCATTGATAATTAGTGACGACAACCCCCCCACCACCCCCCCCCCCCCCCCCCACCCACCCTTTCGAGGGTCCTGTTTAAGCTGATGTAACCCACATTGGTGGCGTAGGCTTTGCAACAAGCTTTGTAATGCTGGGGTACCGGGTTCAATTACTGCTGCAGATGATTTGTCTTGTGCTGGTTTCGACAGTGGTACAAGAGCTGACCTTTTAGAAAGCAATGGCAAACTATTGAACATAAAGTTTGCCTAGAAAACCACAATAGCAAAAAAAAAATGCTGGGGGTTGGTTCTGCGACATCTTGTAAAGGATATGCAGCTAACTTTAACACTGACTGACCCATTCTTTGGTCATGTAATGAGAAGGGAAAAACTGGAGTTCATTGTTACAGTATGAAAGTTGGAGGGAGGGAGACTGAGAGAAAAGATGGCTGAACAGTCTGTCATTGGGGAGGGGGAGGGGGAGGAAATTATCTGTATTAGATTGATTGAAAGTATCCAAGACAGAAGGTTGTGGATAGACATGACTGCCAACGTCACACAGCATGGACAAGGAGAAGACCCCATTTCTCCACCAACAAGCATACCTTAAAATACAACTAACTATGGACTTGCTAAAATCAGATGTGTTGGTTTCAAAGAGGCAAATGTCACAGCCAAACTGTAAACCGCAACACAGCATGCTGACCACAGGGCCAAGGTTTTCTTAGTTCACTTGCCTGTTAATCCAGTGTTCCTGGGTTCATTTTTTTTTTTTTTTAAGAGTTGGGCCTGTCAGCGTTTTTTTTTTTTAAATTGATTCTTTTTGTTTGACCCGTGACTTTTGGAAGCGCTTATAAATAACTTAACTACACACTTGAAATAATTTTTAAAAATTGTAGCGAGAGTTAAAAGAAAGAAGGGGTGCTGAATTTACACAGCACTCGTGACACACCCATTGATACCCAGTCTTCTTCAGCTATTAGTTTGATTATATGTCCTTCTGGGCTTTTTTCTTAGTGTTGAGTGCTGGTCAGATCCCTTTGGTCACGTCTACTGGGCCATTCTTTCCAGATCATGGTTCTCTATTTACACTACTTGGTGTTCATTTTAAAAAAAAAAAACAGAATGAGAGATATAAACACAAATAGAAAAAGTAGAGAGAGAGAGACTTCCACATCCATTAGATTATTTAGTTTGGATGGAAAAACTCAATGCTCAACCAGCTACACGCCAGGGGTAGCTGGGTTGTATTATGGTCTTTGTTTATTTGTGGCTTCAAACTGCTCGCCACCAAGTAGTCCTGAAAAGTCTAGCAGTGTTGATGTTGTGAGCTTACCACTTTCCCGGCCAGTGTTAAAGCTGTCCATAAACGACTCGGTCGCCGGTAGGCATCCATTAAGTTAGTTGGGTTATGAGATCCTCCCCTCAGTATGAACCCTAACGTCCGAGGGCTAATAGTACCAGTTCTATGTTAACAAATCTTCTGGTGTGCGTCTAGTTTTTTGCTATGCCGATCTTAATTCTCAAGTCTGCCATTCTTGCGAGTGAATCCATTAAGTATAATGAATAGGTGCCTTATAAAAGGTTGAAATGAGGTCGAGGAGAACAAATAGTGTAAGAGAATCGCAAATTGAAGTCTCCCTGACATTGAGTTCATTGTAGTGCATTATTTCAGTCATCACAGCCACCTCCCGGACCTGCTGGAGCAGCATACACAGATGCACCTCCTCGCTTCCAGTCGAGGCAGGTGTACCAACCTTTTGTTCAGCCGGTATACTTTACCCAGCAGCCACCAGCACCAGGATTTTCTATGCAACCTTCGCAAGACCAGGTCCATCAGCACAGTAAGTGTTACACTTTATTATCCCAGTCTGTCTCTCCAGCAAGCATGTCGTTGTCACATACCGCACATGTCACGTTCCTGATTTAAAGATTGCTCCTTAAGAACCAACAGCACTCTGAAATAATAATGTTGAGGCGTTGGCTCATATTGGTCTAAGGGAGATCCTGTGGCCAATATACGCCCAACTTATTTCAGGAGTAGGGCAACTCAAGCTCTAGCACTACAGAATGTCTAATATTCCTAGGCACACTTGGCTGGACACCCCCACTACTATAAAAAGCTAGCCCCCAGGTTATTATAGTATACTATCATAGCCATGTTAACACAGATTACACTGATTAATCACACAAACATAAAACTAGACAGTTAGAATGGTGAAACAGGGACACCCAAGTCATCCATGAAATTTTTTGAGAATGCATGTAATATTTTCAATAGAATATATAAATATCAAGACAATCAAGGTGGTTTCCAGTAAAAGTTCATGACTTAATGTCACAGCAATGATGTTGAAACAGCCAGAGTCAGTACTTGCTTTCATAAGAATGAGCAGCTTTGTGACACAAAATACATGTTATGATTTGTACAATATTTTGCTTGCTTCTTATTTTTTCCTCTCTGGTCCTGATTTGTCTTTCAGCTTTTGGTTTGTGAAGAGGCAGCGAGTATGAGCATTAGTATATGAGGTGTAGATGCTGGTTTTTAAGCCTTGGATATCCTTCTGTCCATTGCTGACTTGTTTGACCTCTGGTTCAGCTTCCGTTGTTTCTGAGTGCACTATCTGGTGTTAGTCTTGAGGCCTGTTCAAACCATTTGATCTGCAGTCTGTCGATATAGCTTAGTGCTGCTTCTGTCCCAACTTGTTTCTGAGTGATTGGGCTCTTTGCGGGGCACTATCTGGCGGTAGGTAGTCTTGACACCTGTCCAAACCTTTCGATCTGTTGTCTGTAGATGTGGCTTAGTACTGTTTCCATCAAAACTTGTTTCTAAGTGACAGCTGTCTTTGTGGTGCACTCTCTGAGGGTAGGTAGTCGTGACACCTGTCCAAACCTTTTGATGTAGTTTAGTACCGGTTCTGTCCCAATGTGTTTCCTGATGTTGGCATTCCTATCCTTTCTCTTCTAGTTACATTTAGCACTCATTGCAGACATTTCTTTTATTGTTAATGTCCACATTTGTTGCTTGTAATACTGTAGTTGAAAACAGGTCTTCGTTGTTAGGTGATGGAAAGTGTACAAGGTTTCTCTGTGGTGAAATGGCCTAGCTGTATGCCTCATGTACTGAAAGTCATGAATTTGTTTCATCTGCTGTTGTTCACGAGTTTACTAAAATCTCTGAGATATTGTAGACTGTTTTTAATGACCTGTATTGATGGCAGTAATTGATGAGTAGGGACATGTTAGCGTGTAGCCTTCTTCATGTCCGCCGGCTGTGAACTACCTGTTCGTCCACTTCTTCTCAAATTTGGGTTTTCGTCTGCACGTCCATTTTACGGATCTGACTTACTTGTATGCAGACTGCTGGTTTCTCACCTCAGAGAAAAATTGTGGTTCTTTATTGTCATCCTATCCGGGGTGACATCACAGGACAGTCCAGCATATTAGAGGCTGGTAAGACTGGGTTTTCTGGCTTTCTGGTGCTTTTAACGACCCCAAAGCATCTAGAACTGGCCCTAACCCCAACCCACCTACGTCCCACGAGAGAGTGCAGCCTAGGTCCCACGACTGCATGCAGCCTATCTACCACCCCCTGAAATATTGCACTATCCTGTGACCTGTGGATTTCTCCTGTTTGGGGTAGTATATTAATAAAGCACCAAAATCTCGAATCAGTTGCCAGTTAAGACATGCTTGTTGAAAAGCTGAGGTGAGAGGATTAACTTCATTGCACTGGGCTTGATCCCATACAGCAGCATGCTTGTTGGGGGGGAGGGGGGGGGGGGGTCAGTGGGTCTGTTTTTCCCCTTCTATCGAGGGTAAAAGTGACAATCCTACCCTGCCCAGTTCGGGGCAGCTGCACTAGCCAGACAGCCTTAAATATTCAGGCTCACCCCTGGCCTACAGCACCCTAATAGACCGTTAAAGACAACTTGAATGCATCAAGGGGTTTGATTTGACTCTGCTGTATTGCAATTTTTAAGGCTCCACAAGTGAATCCTCACCAAGGATGGGTCAGTCAACGGAACAGCTGAATCAGGCCCCTGTTATGCCAGCCTTCGGTGCAGGATCCGTCGCTGGTGAGTTTTATTGTCATTGACTGTCATCTTTTATGAATATATTTAGTATATTGTCACATAAAAATAAGGGCCTACGGTTGGGGTTTAACCTTGACTTCCGCTGGTTTTGTCTGAAGTTGAACACATCTAGCCTTTACATAAAGAGGTCAAGACACACTTACAATCAGATGATATTGTTGCTATCCGGGTTGGAACTCTTCACTGGCTGCTGAAGATGGAGAGGAAGTGCTTATGGGAATGTGGTATTGGTTTAAAAAGTCAACTGTGATCACACAGTTTGTCTGTTTTTTTGGGGAAGGGGGGGGGGTTCCAGTTTTGTGGTCACCTGATTTTGTTATTGTTATTTTGTTGGTATCCCCTCTCTTCCCCAACACCAACAATAAAAGAAAAACCACACCCCCCCCCCCCCCCCCCACCCCCCCCCACGCACACCCCCCCCGCCCCCCCCCCCTTTTTTTTTCTTTCTGGTTGATAAAATGTTCAGCTCATGAAACAATCTGTATTTTCCTGTATTTCACAGATTCAGTCAACTCCACACCGCCATTGAGCAGAAAATCTCCAGCGTCCGATCAGGGTCTTCAACCCCGGTCTGACAGCCCAGAATACATCTCATATAATCGCCAGTACAGCAACAAGCAGTCTTACCAGCGGCACCCCCAGCAGCAGCAGTACCTGCACCAGCATGATCAGGGAGGGAGGAGAGGAGGTGCAGGATTTGTCCAGAATAACTTTGGGAATTATCGGGACAGAGGGGAGAGGGAACAGTCTTCTTATTCCAGAGAGAGGATAAGTAACAGAGGTGAGCAAACATGCAGGTGTTTATTTACTGGCTACGCTGCTTGAAAACAGAGAGAGGATAAGTAACAGAGGTGAGCAAACATGCAGGTGTTTATTTACTGGCTACGCTGCTTGAAAACAGAGAGCCTCGTATACAATGTCACTACATCCGGCATTATAATAGAGGTGGAGATAGTAATGGCAGCTTTCTGATGGCTTAAGAACAGGACAGCCTGTTATGTGAATGTAACAGGATAACAGCATGCTTCGGAAAATTGAAACTGAAGTCCTGCAATCAGAGTGGCTTGCATAACTTGGAAGATCCAGATCAAGAGTATATCATGGATTTTCTGTCCAGGATGTTCAGGTGTGTGAGATACATGACAAGGCAGATGTGGTCAAGGCCTGTTGGGAACAAGCAACGGAATCAGTAGAGAAAGAAGATTATTATGGCCTGAAGAGAATGAGGCACCTGGGTGGAACCAGAGGGTCTGGCCGGCTCACTACACTCAGAGGAAAGGCAAGACAGACATAGACTGAGACCGGTATCATCAGTATTGGAACTCAGCTGAAGATGACGGAGCACATATGGGAATGCCTTGAGTGCTGTGATGTCAATTCTTGACTCAACTCAGGTGTGCGGAGTAACGAGCAGGCTGATAGATTAGGTGCTGCTACTCCTCTTGGCAGTGGGCTAGTAAATGATAAAGAGGATGTGGTGAAAGCTCTATGCTCTGTGGAATCTAATGGACTGCAAAAGAACAGGCAGAGAAATCCGAACACTGAACGACTAATGCAGCGAGAAGTGGGAGATATTTAACATTGAGGGGGTTAATTAGGTTGCAACAGGTACCATTAGCATGTCATTTTTCATTGGTTTCTGAAGAAGGGGACGGAGCACGTGTGTAATCAGTTCGTGATTGATTGATTCATTTATTTATTTACTCCGGCAGCTCTTCTGTTATATCTCTGTTATGATTTTGCTTTTATTTGTTTTAGTTGGGATTTGACACCGGTAACATATACCTGGACAACCCCCCCCCCCCCCCCCCCCCTCTCCCCCTCCCACAACAAAAAACCGGTTTTATTTGATTTGCTAGGGTAGCTAAAAGTTATACTTCTGTTTGCCAAAAAGTGGGTTTGTTGGTTCTGTCTTCTATTGACAATGGTCCTAACGAGGGCGGGTCTTGCTAGTCACACTCGCCAGCGCCATGGGCAGTATGTCCCATGTCTCATAGCGCAATATAACACTGTTGTCTGGAAAGACAGAAGGGTGCCAGTCATCGTCAGAGTTATCGTTCTTTGCTCCATTTATTGGCCCTATTAGGAGTAGGGAGCGTAATCGTAAAAAGTGGGAGCCAGAAAGAAAAAAACCGGAGTGACAGCTTCAAGAAATCCACAGAAATAAATTATTATACACATTTCCAGCAGGTGGAAGACAGAAAAATTCCTGGTTTTCTGTGATAGTGCATCCATTGATTCATCTTCACAGCCCTAGTGAGTCTGGGGTTATGTCATATCAAATGTGTTACTGTCATAATGTCGTCACGTAATTATTTTCAGCAGAATCCATGGGAGGGGCGCCACCTCGTGGGCGAGGCCGGGGAAGACCGTCTCACAGTCGAGGCCGGCGTGGGTACAGATCATCAGGGCCGTTGAAATTTGACACTGAGTTTGACTTTGAGACTTCCAACGCTCAGTTTGCCAAGGATGCCGTGGAGCTGGAGCTGAAGAATCTTTCGCTGAGTAAGTGGGTCGGCGTGTTTTGTTGGTGTGTAGTATTTTCCTATATCCTTTTCTAGTTTATATGATGAGACCACAGATTGTGAGTTGTTGAAATTGGCAGAGGCTGTAGCAATTACAATGGATTAAAAAAGCAGCCATCCCAATATGGGATGCAATGGTTTGTTATTTTAAAACCCCACCCTGTCTGTAGTTGGGAGCTCGAATATAGCGTAATGGTTGAATGGGGTTTCTGGGACCTGTACCTGGGTGATTCTCATCCAAATGGTGGAACTTTATGTAACCGGTTGTTTATCACTCATGTGCAGTCCTGGTGAGGTTGAATATCACTCAGTCACTCATTAAAATGAACAGTCCTGCATTGTGTGAACTAGAGGACCACATAGTTAACCGCATTCTGTCTAGGGTGCTGTGATAAAAATCCTCGATCACTAAAAGGGGCGGTGGGGCCCACACAGGAAAATATAGTGACATTGCTTGCTCATTCATGTGGCTTTGTCTCTTAGCAGCAGTTACAAATCAGACAACATGTTGAATGTGCTAATCTTTGTTTCTCAACTTCACTAGCTGTAAACTCCAGCAGACAGTTCTGGACTTTGATCCTGATCCAGAACTTCATTTTTGCGTGCACATCCCTTTAACAAATGAGGCTTATTTGTATGCAGACTGTTTGTTTCTAGCAGATGCACTGCAACTTTGAAGGAGTCGATCCTAGCTAGTCGTGTTGTACGACGTGCTTGTCAGTAGGTATATTTTTCCCTTAGAAGTGAGCCCCGGAACCCACACATGAAGAATATGCAGATGAAACGACAGCACTCATTTTTCCCTCGTTACTGACATTCTCCAGCTGAGACTGGTGCTCTAGGACTTACAGATGGCACACAGATGGGCTCGCTCTGTGCTACTTGATAGACAGATTAAATGTGTCCACACTCCTTTTTGTGGCACGTGAAAGGGATGGAAGCTAGCACCCCTTCACCACAAAATCTGCCATTCCTGGTGTTATTCCTTTAGTCACTCCTGCAGCCCTCCTTGGATGTCTCATTTCCATAGTTACTCATTTTATTTTCTGTCGTGAATGACAATGTCTGGAATCACTGCACTCAGAGAGTTAATATGCTAATAGTATGAGTTGCATCCTGATCAAAAGTCTGCCTGTTTCCCATTCAGTGTTGAATATCTTCCAGAATCCACTGTTCTGTTAAATTAGTCTGTCAGGTAATGGATTCCTTATCTGTTGTTTTGCACTTTCCTTTTCATCCCATAAAGCCTTCATCATGACTGCTTTAACCGGGAAGGCTAACCCGGTCAACAAATGCCCGCAGAAGTCGGATATGTTGGCCGGAAGGTGCAAATATCGCAGCCATGCTGTAAACGGACACAACACAGTTACATCTTTAGATGAATGCAGAATAAGATGGCTGCTTTATCATATAGTGGCTCACCGACCAGAGGTTAATCTGTCAGCATGCTCATTACCTTGCATTGTGTGGGATGTGTACCTGTACAATTTTATGTTTCTTTTGTTGCACAGATGATAAATCTGTAAATGGTGATAGAGGAGAGGAAGAACCTGATGTTGAGGACGACGAGTTAGGTGAGGTTGATGAAGACGAGCCAGTCTTCTACGACAAAACAAAGTCATTCTTTGACAACATTAGCTGTGAGGGCACAGAGAGGTCTAAAGGGTAAGATATTTATTCAAGTATAGATTTCTGTTACTGTTTTTTTTTTTTAAAGTGAATGTAGACACCTTTAGGAATATAGCACAGACTACATAGTTCTGTTACTGTAAGGAACGCATCATACGATCATGGGTTCCTACCTAGAAGCCCAATGAACGTATGATGCGCCAATTTTATTACCTTCTTTACTACCCCTTGGGCCTGTGATTCTAAACCCCCTGGGACTCAAAGAGTTAATGAGTGCAGACACCGTCAGACATACAGCCTACCAACTTCATGTTTCTTTTACTGTGTTGTGTGTTTTTTCAATGCGTGTAGACACCGTCAGACATACAGCCTACCAACTTCATGTTTCTGTTACTGTGTTGTGTGTTTTTTCAATGCGTGTAGACACCGTCAGGAATACAGCACACCCACTGCATATTTCAGTTACTATACTGGTTTTGTGTGTGTGTGACGAGACGGATGTTCTTAAAGGACCTGTTGATTGGAGATGAGGTGCTGACAGTTCCTAAGAACCATGAAGCTGCGCTATTGGTTTTGTGGGCAGCGTACGCCAGGGCTGTGTAGTCCAATGTGAGAGCGGCAGTGTCTGCATAAATATGTTGATACTTTATTAAACTCCTCTTCTCTTTTGCGTTCACTGGCTGAATTCCAGCTGGAAGTTCTGTAGGTTTTTGGTCGATTTGGCTGTGTACCAAGACCTGGGGTTTGTATATACACTGCTTTTTTCTGGCTTATTTGTATACAGTTCTTTGTATACATCTCGAGCAGACGTACTCTGACTTCGAAGGAATCTGTTATACTGAGGCCTGGTTTTCTGTCAGACATCTCCTCGTATCTTGCTCCATTAGTCCTCTGCAATTGGTGACGTTTTTCTGTGGGGTGCAGAATCCTCACCTGCACAGTCCGTTGGTGACAGCACTAGCCAGGCGACCGACCATAAATCCTCAGGCTCACGGCTCATGACCAACACACACACACACACCCCCCCTCCAAAGTAGTAAAGTTTTTTTTAAATATTGCTGGTCTCTTGTTTGCAGCCAAATTTTTTTTTTTTTTTTTTTTGCTGAATTAAAATGATTAACTGGTTAATGATGATAATTCTTCTCCATTGCAGGCAGCGACATTCTTGGAAAGAGGAACGTAAGCTGAACAGCGAAACATTTGGGGTTTCACAAAACTTTCGCCGCAACTACCGTGGCAGGGGTAACTGGAGAGGTGGCAACATGCATGGCGGAAGGCAAGGGGGGCGTGGGAGAGGAGGTGGAGGCGGGCGTGGTGGCTACAGAGATGGTGACGGCTATGGCAGAGGAAGGGGCGGATATTACAGAGAGGATGATGGTTATCACAGGGATAGGGGCAGCTACGGTCGAGAAGGCGGTGGATATCACCGAGGTGGTGGCGGCGGTTACAGTCAAGATGCTGGCAGTTACAGTCGGGATGGCAGCGGATACGGCCATGATGGCAGCGGATATAACCGAGATGGCAGCGGATACGGCCATGATGGTGGTGGAAGATATTATGGATGTGAGTTTTCTTGGTGAATTAATTGTTTGTTGGTTTTGTAGATTGTTGTATCGGAACAGGTGTCGACATGAATGAGTCTCAACTCAGTCCAAAATAGGTCAAGGGGCAGAAAAAAGGCAAAGAAAAAAATCACTAGAATTTTCTATTCCTGATTCTATTAGAAGGCGAACTCTCCTTTCAAACAGTAGCATTTCTCTCTTCTCTGTACCGTCCTAGTAGACATTCGAATGCTTTCAACAAGGTTTAAGTTTTCATTTCTCTGATGTTATCGTCCCATCTTGTTCTTGGTCTGCCTCTTGTTCCACGCTCCTGTTTTGGTAAATGCCTTATATGATTTAGCATCAGGAGGTATTCTCTTCAAGTGGGCAAACCATTTGATTTGCTGTCTTTGTGTGTAATTTAGAACTGGTGTAAAATGCCAACATCAATAGGATTTTTTCATAGGGGCGGATTCATCATTCTCCTTTTCATTTTTATAGGAAAGTTTGTTTGGTATATGTCCTGTTAAGTACAAGTATCTGGTACAGATTAAGGATGCATGCTGAGGTACCACTGTATTTGCTGAGCTGTCAAGGCAGAGAAACTCACCTGCTGTGGATTCTAACTCACTGGCATCCAGGGCATTGAAAGGGTGGTTGCTTTATTCAGCCATCTCCCAGTGTGGGTCCCGGGACCCCATTGTGGGGAAAACAAGAATAGACCTACTGCCGCCTCAACAAGCATGTCATAAGAGTCAAATAACTGGGATCTGCTTTCAGGGTCGGGGTGTATCTACATGATAGGCAACGAACCAACAATTAGCATGCAGTTAAGTCAGGTGTGTTAAACGAATATGTACAAAACACCCCAGTTCTGGAACAAGACTCAAAAGTCCATAGATGGGCAAACAAGCAGAACTGTCTACCCGAGTTTGTTGGTGGTGGCAAACAGGCCGAACTGTCTACCTGAGTTTACAGCCATCGAACGCAGAGAAGATTTAGCGTAGAGGAGGCAGCGTAAACAACAAACCTACCAGCTGTCCTTTCCAGAAGAAGCACTAAAGAAACACTGGATAAACTATGGGAAAAGATTGCCTCCGTCACCTGACTAGAAACAAGCCACGGTTTTCCGCTGATGTGCTGGACACTGCAGACAGAACAAACACTCACATTAAAAAAGCAAAAGCCGATGAAAAATCTTAAGTGCAAGGCAGCCTGGCATACGACACCACGTCTAACATGATAATGGAGGTGGCACCTGTAACTGCAGCTCTCCGATGGCCATAGAACAAGATGCATACACATGTAATTGTAACAGACTGAAAGCATGCTGAAAAGGGTGAAGACAAGGATGCTTCGAGCAAGGTGGCAAGCTTCACTGGAAAGGTCACGGGTAGTGGGCATACTTTGGATCTTTTCTCCAGGCTATGCCGGTGTGGTGGGTAATAAACAGGCCCACAGATTGGCTGTATCTGCACCACTGGGTGGTGAATTGATACATGGCAAGGCAGATGTGGTCAAGGCCCTTTGGGGACAAGCAACGAAATCAGAGATCGAAGATTATTATGGCCTGGAGAGAATGAGGCATCTGGGTGTAACCATGGGGTCTGGCCAGCTCACTACACTCAGAGGAAAGGCAAGTCGGACATATAACCAGATTGTGACCAGTACCATCAGTATTGGGACTCTGCGCTGGCTGCTGAAGATGAGAACGGAGCATGCATGGGAATGCCCTGAGTGCTGTCATGTCAATTCTCAACTGTCTAGATGCTGAACAGACCCTAGAACACATCTAAATGACTGTCTCCTCCTGAATGGGAGGCAGTGGACGTATTCTCCCTCCCCTTCCGAGGGAAAAAATGGGGCATCGTAACCCATCCAGGGAGAATTATGTTAATTAGCTTTATTTTCGTTTCGTGTTTTTTGTGTGTGGTCCTATTGGCATAAAGACGTAGTCCGGTAATTGCAGTTCCAGCATCAGGAATATTGGCTACTCTGTTCCCTGTGTCAGCAAAGACCTCACAATGTCAGTAACTCTTTCTTGTGGTGAAAATTGATGCAGACGGCAGTCCCTGCAACCCCAGAAGAACATACTCGCATTAGTACATAAGGCGCTAGAAATGCAAGCAGATTGGCAGCTGCACACGCAGTTGATTTGGTCTTATTCTTGTGTTGAGTTTTGCATGCACGTCCAGTTTAGGATGTACTGAACCACATGTGGCTGTGCGCCAGGGCTAGATGTCTCGTACAGATGAAGGTCTATCTACATCTCTCCCTAATCATCCTGGAAACAGATTCTCAGTCGAGAGCCTGGCTAACGTTAAAGAATAATTTTTCTGAAGTAAACGGAGCACTTATGGGAGTATCCTGGGTGCTGTGATTTTGATTCTTAATTCATTGTTCTCAGAAGTAAGAGTGCATATGCCTCTGTAAAACACTTGGGGGAGTGCTGCATGGTCTCGAGGTATAGCGTCCGCCTCAAGTGCTGGAGGTCCCTGGTTCACGCCCCTATAAAGGCTGGCTTTTTTTTTTTTCACATGGGCTTCTAGTAATTTTCCCTGGTCTCTGGGTAGTGAGATCGGATGCGCGTGTGTACTGTTGCACACGTAAAAAAAATACCTTGGCAGTCGGAAATCAAAAAGAGTAGCCTAATGGCGCCGCCTGGGCATAATGTGGAGTTTAAATTCTACCCAAAGTATTTCAGGATCCTCGCCAGTGCAACGGAGTTCGTGCACTGCGCTGAGATGCTTCAGAGTCAGGCTTGAGTTAAAAGTATAACTGGGCACCTATGGGTTACACCCGTTTGCCTTATTGTTGATTCGTCGACTAAACTCAACTAAAACTAAAACACATGTGCATACACCAGTCAAAAGTTCTGGAACGGAACACAGTCAAGGTCCATGGGTGGACAAGCATCTAGGACTTCCCGCCAAAGTTTACATCTGCTGATTCTTTGAATTTCTAATATCATCTAAACAGTAATTTTTCTTTGTAACACCATTTTTTATTAAATATTTTTCAGCAAAGAATTGATATCAGCTTGTGGAGACAGATGTTTGGTGATGGCTGCCGGCAAACCCTGCCATGGAGGTCGAATGCCATAGGGGAACGTGTTGGTGCCCCGCTGTTTGATTTTCCATGTCTGCTGCGACTGGCCAGGAATGCTAAGTTCTTTACATTTCCATGCTAGTTGGCCTTGCGGGCAGAGGAAATTAAATATGTTTCCAGCCGTACTCTTTGTTGCCTATAAGTAAAACCGCGGTGGTTAGCCATCGTGTGGCTAGTGCTTGCAAAGGATCATGTGAATGGCAGAGGTTGAATCGGTAGCCGGATACAGCCCAGGTTCAAGTAAATTCATCTGGTTTGATTGTGTTATTCATAATTTGTGTTCTGTTGTTACAGTAGTTGGCTCCCTATTGGTTCTTGTTGCATCTTCTGAGAGATGTATAGTCTGTCATAGCTGTAGGTTTGATCTTCTGAGAGATGTATAGTCTCTCATAGCTGTAGGTTTGATTTTCTGAGAGATGTATAGTCTCTCATAGCTGTAGGTTTGATCTTTTGAAATATGTTTAGTCTCTCATAGCTGTAGGTTTGATCTTCTGAGAGATGTATAGTCTCTCGTAGCTGTAGGTTTGATCTTCTGAGAGATGTATAGTCTCTCATAGCTGTAGGTTTGATCTTTTGAAATATGTTTAGTCTGTCCTGTCTGTAGTAAGTCTGTTCTGTGTTAGATGTTTGGTATTTCTTATTGGGGAAGGGAGAGGGGTAGGGCTTTTAACTCATTCAGCTTAAAACTGGTTGTTTTCAGAATTTCTCCAACTCAAAGTGTTTGCACTTTAAAGCTGAAGTAATAAAGAGTAACAACTGAAATAAATAGAATGGGCTAAAGTACCAGAAGAATTGGGTGTCAAAAGTTACTTCAACTTAGTCAATACAAGACCGGCTCCCGCTGACAGGCCACACTGCTGATCTACAAAATCGGACTAACGATATGTTAATGCAGCGATTCTCAAACTGGGTGCAGCGAAAGCATGGGCCGTCCGCTGGAGCCGGTCTTGGTCAGGATGGCAAGAGCAAGGGGGTGTTTTTTTAGCCAGCATTCAACAGAGGTCAGTTTTGTACATGGCTAGCATGGGGGTTGTGTCAGACTAGTCTGAATGCAATAGTCTAGTTTCATGGCTAGCATGGAGGTTGTGTCAGACTAGTCTGAATGCAATAGTCTAGTTTCATGGCTAGCATGGAGGTTGTGTCAAACTAGTCTGAATGCAATAGTCTAGTTCATGGCTAGCACCGAGGTTGTGTCAGGCTAGTCTGAATGCAATAGTCTAGTTCATATGTAACCTTCTAGGAAGTTTAAAAACACTGTGACTTGTCCAGCAAACCAACCGTGGCTTACTTTAGATCTGAAAATTAAATCTCTTGATTCAACTAAAATGAAAGGGACAGTGCCCTGACGCCGCGAGGTATTCCAGAAGTAAAGAAAAGAAGATGAAGAAGTCAATCCTCTTCTACCTTGGGAGATTTGCCAGCGAGATCATTAGAGTGTAGGAAGTTAAGAAAGATAAAATGTAAAGGGAAAGTAATACGTCCAGTGAATTTCTTAGTGCTGAAAGGGTTGAAAGATGGTTAACATTTTGAGTTTTCTGTATATCATGTTTACTGGCAACAAATATCATTACTTGTAGCCAAGTTTGCTCGGGCAAACAGCTTTCATTCTTTAGTTTGGACCGAAATGCTGCTGAAAATAAAATAATCACATTTTTATTCAGGAAATGCAATTGTATGATCTGTAATTAGTTGATTGTGTATACAGTCATCATCCAGCAACTGCTTTGGAAACGGCCCTATTTCCCAAGACTGGTAAAAAATACTGCCCAAAACTAAAAGTGAGTATCATATCTGAATTTGAAAGGAAA